ATAATAATCAAGTCATTTTAAACTTTTGTACTTTTTCCGTGTACACATAATTGACCTGTTATAGTCCTTAAGATGACTAATTATTACTGAATTACTAAAAAACTATGCATGTGTGTTTGGCCATAACCTCCCAGAGACCTATGTGATAAATACAGAGTGACCTCATGGTGCAGAGTGTTGTTCCCTGCTGTGTGTGTCTCTTTGATGTCCAGATACCAGCGGCCGCTCAGCTCAGGGCAATAAAAGTCATGTTGTTTTTGGAATTGAATCTGTCCTGTTTCAGAAGAGGAACGTTTTTATGTTGTTTTTGACTGAAGCAGAGTCGGTCGAAGCACTGAGGCTTTACTGAACACCCAGAAGTGAACCAGGACCACAACAGACTGAAGAAATGTGTGTTTATATGTGTGTGTGTGTGTGCAGGCCACCAGATGTTGCCAGGATGTCTTTGGTTGCCAGTCAAAGAAAGGAAAGGAATAGAAAAACTGACACAGACAAGGAATTTGTGATGTATTGAAGCTTAAATCTCTGATGGCAGAAGAATTCTATAGATTTGGTTTGATTTTGAACAGAAATAAAAACTGAATTGAGTTGAATGGTTTAACTTTAAATGATAAGAAATGACTGTCACCTTCTTAAAATAGATTCTTCAAATCATTTTTTGATTGAATGTACTTTTATACCTAAATCCTCTCCTCATGACTTAAGGCCCGGCCATTATCCTAATCCTGTTGGGATAATGGCCAATATCAAGAGAGTGCCTTTAAAAAAAAACTTTATTATAATTATCCTATGGGGTTGATTTTATGAATACGAAAAAATAAGCACTCTTGCGTACTGGGTGTAGCTCTGACTGCCCCCCCCCCCCCCCCCCTTAAATGGATTAAGGGGAAGAAGATGGATGGATGGAAGCACTCTTGCTTCTCAGTAAGACGGTCCTGGGTTCGAATCCTGTTGGGAACAGAGTGTTTCTAAAGCCTAGCGTACATCGGACTGGCAACTGATTATATCCGTCGCCTCTGAGTTGCTGCCCCGCACACATCGACAATCTGGCGAAAACGGGCAACTCTGAGTCGCAGGCCAGTCTCTTGAATAACAGCGCGTACATCGACAGCAACTGGCCTCAACTACAGTGTGTTTTCTGACAACAAACTGTTGCGGGCACAATACACGCAATACACACACGTTGTTGGAGCGGCGCATGGAGCGCGCACATCGGGGCAACTGAGGACAACTAGTTGCCGAAAAGTAGAACACGGGCAACTGACTGGAACTGGAGACCGACTGATCATCTCCAGTTGTAAGAGCGCGCACATCGACCGATTTCGGCAACTGATCATCTCCCACCATCTCCTCTCAGTTGCCAAAAGCCGCCTTGCAACTAGTTGTCCCCAGTTTCTCTGTCGATGTACGCTAGGTTTAAGGCATCGTTTAGACAGAGACGTCATACCAGCAGAGATTTCACACCTGTTTCTTCATGCGGCTGTGAAACAGCCCCGCTGAGCAGCGTATCTGTTCTGTTCCACTCTGTAAGCTGTTTCTCACACGTTTTAACCTGAAACACAGTAAACAGGAGGCCAAACCGATTCCCAACTGTTTTACTGTTGCAGCGTCTCCGTGTAAACGGGGCCCAAGTGGAGTTTACATGATCTTCTCCGGTGTCCCCTGCCACTAAAAACATGTACAGTAGGTAAAGTCCTCCAGCAGAGCATCAACATCTGGAGATGGTCCTCGGGTGCTGACCTGAGACCACTGCTCCTGACAGACCTGTGCCTGTGTAGGATGGTCAAATGCAGAGGACCAATTTCCCCTGAGGGATAAATCAAGAATAACATAACTTAACTTTGCAGCTTTGGTCAAACTAATTTTCCACAAAGGGAATAATGTGACAAAAACAGCTGCTAGAAAGTGTTTTCATTCATAACTTGAAAGTTTCAAATAAGGCCGCACATCCCTGTAGTCTGGGCTAGCGTGCTGGATTTAAAAAATGAAAGACGTAAAAAAAATCCGCACAGCTATGTAGCTCCCAGTCAGTGTATTTTATTTACACACCAAAATTGTTACACCAATACACTGATTGGGAGCTACATAGCTGTGCGGATTTTTTTTCACTGTTCATTCATAACTTGCACAGAATGTTTAGTTTAGTTTAATCTTTATTAATCAAAGACAATGTACAAAAGTACAAAAGAAGTATTTTCCATTTGTGAATATAATGACCAACTTTGAGTGGTCCTCTATGAACAAACAATAAAAGTGAAGATAAGATTAGCAAACATTAAAGCTGAAAAATTGTTTGATAATATATAAAAATAGAATACAAAATAACTACTATGTACCTTGTGAGTCACCACATGACTCTCTGGGCTGAGAGCTGATAGGCTGCTGCATGTGTAATCCACCCCGCAAATATGAATGCACTTAAATATGACGAGAGCTCAAAAATGCTCTCGTCATATTGAAAATGTGAAACCAATATGGTGGATAGATAGCTATGGCCTACGCAGGTGGACACACGCAAGACAAAACATCTGACCCTCACAGTCTCAGGGTCCCAATGTGTATCCGTGTTATGACTCTGATATGTTCTGATTGTCTCTTGATGCCACACGTATGCCTTTCTATGCGTGTATCAACATTATAACTGATGATACACTTCCTGTGTGAGTCATATTTAAGTTTCACATTGAAGTTGAATCACAGAAGTAAACTTTTGAACATTTCTCTAACTTTCCCAGTTTAACCTGTGTCTCTTTTAAGACAGGGCCAAAAACACATGCACTGCCTCCTTATTATGATCAGTTTTTTAACTATTCTTTTCTTCAAATCTTGGCCTTACTATCCGTTGTAAAACTTTGCGATTAGCAGATCATCGGTATCAGCCGCAGCAGAACAAAGTGGACATTGAGTGGAAAAACAAAAGACAGGAAGCGCGTCAGGGTGGAGGTGTTTTCTGTAGGTGCCACACGGACATCTGCCAGCTCTCTGCTCTTCCCCCGGGGCAGAGCTGCAGACTCGTAAACCTGCGCCTGGTTAAAAAAGGCCCTTCATCGGAGCTCTGCAGAGGAGCTGGTGGAGCAGTGACCTCAGCAGGACACACACACACACACACACACACACCTGCAGAGGACTTCAAAGGGCTCTTACTAGACCCTGACACCCTCCCCTCGGGCTGCATCACCCCCTCCTCCTTACACACGCTTGTTTCATTCACACTATTGTCATTCAGGTCCGTCTCAAGCCGTGCTGTCACAATAGTGAAGCTTCTAACTTGATTTTAAAGCTGGGGTACCTAACTGTGAAACCACAAAAAAATTTACTATGTAATAAAATCCATGTAATTAGTTCACTCTCAAACCTGTTGCTTCTGTCTCTTCTCTCGTGTATTTCTGGCCTGTGTCACGTCTTTGGATCAGCTTTTTCACTACCAGCTTTCTGTCAGCCAATCAGCTCTCATATATAAGTGCCGGAAATTGTCAAAACATTCTGAAATATACTGATAAACTAAAACTAAACCAACAGATATCACACTGCAAAAAGTGATACAACATGATATAATAGCTTGAATTTTTTCAGCTTAATTTGAGTACATTCTGACTGTCAAAGGGACAAGCAATTTAGTCATTTAGTATTTTCTCATTCCAATGAAGACATTTATTGTATATTTTTAAAACAAGATCATTTTGCCGTCCTTATGGCAAGTCTTGTTTTACGGCTGTCATAATGCTCAAGATACATTTTGCCAAATGTGAGCAATCTCTGATTTATTTTTCAACCCTTTTTGCATTGTATGTTTTCATGTAAGATAAAGACAGCTGGTGTGGTCTGATTTGTTCACAATATGTTACTTATGCTGTTTCTCCATTGTGAGATCAGTAAAGTTAATCTTTAAGTTAATCTTAAACAAAAGGCCGTTCTTCCAAAAATATGCAGGAAACTTCCTTTTTAATCCGATCATACTTTCTATCATGACTGTTCTTTCCCGCACAGCCTTAGTCCTCGTTCTCCTGATTGATCTGGCTTGGAGATAACTTTGAAGTAAACAAAGTTGCTGAAATTGTCAAAAAAAATTCTGAAATAAACTGATAATCTGAAACCAAATTATTAAATTATAAAAGGGCTGATTCCCTCAAATGTTTTTTTTTTTGTACTTGGAGTTTTACCAACTGAATTTGATACAGACCTAAAGTATATTCTACATATTCTGCTGTTTGTTGCCAAAATGACCATAACAACCAACTGGAAGACCGTGAACTCACCATCAGTGGCTGAACGGAGGAAAAGGGTCAAACAAGTGTTCATTATGGAGAAAATGACTGCATCCTTACAACTGAAAACATATAATTCTTTTTCATTTTAATCTTTGACTTTGAGAAGGAGGTATTATACATAAAGGGTTGCTGTTCTGTAAAAACGGTAATACATGTAATATTCACTGCTCATGTGCACTTTCTCTGTGAAGTTGTAAGAATCTTGTTTCAGAGAACGTTCTATTTGTGTTTTCAAAACTTGAGAATAAAAAGTTCCAAAATAATAATAATAAAAAAATGATGACAGACAGCCCTATATCAAAGAACACCAGCTATCGCCCCCGCTCCTGATCTGGAGGGGGGGGGATAGGAGTGTGTTTTTCCACCTCCTTCGATAGCGCAGCAGCTGAAGCCTCTTCCGGCCTCCACTCGCATCTTTCCACTTAAGCAGCTGATTTTAAAGCCACTCCTCACGCCCCAGCCCCGAGCCTGCAGGAATGTCTCATGTATCCTCTGAGTCTCCATTACTTATGCTGAGATAAGCTTTTTAAACAGTGAATGGACTGGCCTGGTACGCCGATGAAAGAAACTTGGGGTCGGCTCTAATGTTCTTATGTGTCATTTCCTTCCTATCTCTGTTCCTCACAAAAACAGCTGTATTTCAGGTCTATTTGAGCAGCTAAATGAAATGTCTTGTGTCGGCCGGGTTTGAGGCTGGCTGCTGATCTAAACCACACAATGTTTTCCCTGTAGGTCGTTGCTGGAGAGGCCTGTGCCAGCGGGAAGCTCACTGAGTCGGGACAGTGCTGCAGTCTGTGCCCGGCTGGATACGAAGTTGTCGTGAAATGTGGGAAGGAAGATACCAAGTGCCAACCGTGTCCACAGGGTGAGAGATGGTTGTGTGACCTCACTCAACTCACTCAGACAAGTTTGACCTGATTTGGGACTGGATGTGTGGGGGATACATTTTCCTATTGTGCTATTTTTAAACATTATTGAAGTAAAGCGGCAGTGTATATAACTTTAAGGTGATAAAAAGACCTGCGAGATTCTAATGAAATATAAAGTTAAAAGCACAGTGAACTTGCCAGGACCCTTTTAGGCCCAGTTTAGACTGAGACAACACCTGAGATAGGGTTACAGACGATAATGTTGACTGAGCATCTTTTAAGGATGGTGTTTTTCTTCCATCACAAGGCGTTGTAACATATGGTGTGGGTGTTGGTGTTGGGGTTCATACATTAGGTCAAAGGATGGTTTCATCAAGTTCATTAAGTTTGTTTGTCCATCTATACCAGACTTTTTGATCTGGTATACATAGTTCCCACATGACGTCACTACATACGGGGATTTGCCGACCCGGCGCCATTTGTCTTGGCATTCTGTGGGCCAAAAAATAGAAAAAGAAGCTGAAACGTGTGATAAAGTTGAAAATGGTCATCTCCTGCTGGGTCAATGGATGTTCTAATCGTGCCGGAGGTTCAGTTAAACTTGGATTTTACAGTATACCCATCATTAGACTTCATGAATGTGAGAAGACTAAGCTTTTGTCAGAACAACCACAGAGGTTATGGCTTGCGAAGATAAACAGGCAAGAAACTCCCTCAAAACACGCAAGAATATGCTCGGAGCACTTTGTGTCAGGTGCGTATCGTATCTCATAATGTGTTGACAGACGTAATTTACTCAGTACTAACTTGTGTATGCTGATAGCTGGTAACTTGAGAGTTTCATTATTTAGCGTTAGATTACTTTATTATGAGGAGGATCGGTGTCGCGTCCGAGGCTCTCGAGGGCAACGTAAATGTATTAAATAGATAATAATAGTTCTATGGTGGGCTAAAACAATGTTCACAAACAGCATTGCTTCTGTAAAAAGATCTGTGTCATAAAATAAACTGCTCTTTACGCCTGGAAAAATCAGTTGCCCACCATTCACCAAAACATACGGTCAAAAACGCGGAAATAAACAATAACAGCAATCCAGAGTGTCCGTGTGGCATTAGCATTAATTAAATTAATTGTTAATATAATTAAAATAATTAAATGGAGCTCCAACTGGTATTAAATCTAAAGTTTTTGAGAAATGTTTGCATTGCTTGTTAATTTTTGCTGCATAATTTGATCAAATATGTAAAACATGTCCGTAGCACGTTAAACTGTGGTGCCATTGTATTAATATACAATTATTTGCTCAAAAGTTGCCCTTTTTTTCCAATTTGCGTTTGAATATCTACATTTATTCTCATTCTTCTGTTTAATGGAATGCACAAACACAGCAGCGTGCCATCAAAGATGGCGTCTCCGAGGAGGTCATGTGACATTCATTGGTCTGTGGGAACTATGTATAGAAGATGAAACAAATTGAGAGAGTTTTGAGGGAATAAATAAGTCATCTTTTTTATATGGCACATTTAACTGCAACAATGAGGGGTCCAGAGGTATGGGATTATGAACATTTGATTGGTCACAAATTCAGATAAAGAATATTTTTTAAATAAAAGTTTTTGGTCATTTGTACCAACTCCCAGGCCGTAGTTTGAACATGCTTTGTTGTAGAATGTTTTACATAGTGTCGAAAAATGAAGACAAAGGTAGCAGCGATCTCACACACCTGTAACTCTTATTTTAAAGTTCTTCCAGAAAGAACAAAAGAAGAGAAAGCTTTTTGAATGATGTGTTTGATACACATCATTCAAAAAATGTGCATAAGAACAGAGAAGTCATTATTGAGATATTAATGGCGCTGATGCTTAATATTAGCGATGTGGATCAGAACAACAGTTCTTCAGATAATAATATTTATTTCAGTAATACTGATATAACAGAGATCCAAAGTCCAAAACTTGCGGGTCAGATTCCACAATAGTTTTGTGCCAAAAGTAGAGTCATGTTTGTGGAGAAGCAAGACTGCTCATTGGAACTATTTATTTCTATATTATTAATGTGAAAAATAGAAGAACATGCTTCTATTTGAGTCTATCTTTTTAGCTGTGAAGTGACATGGGTTACTGAGACTTTGAAGAAGCCTGTTTTCTCTTTGTAGGAACATTCTCGTCTGCTGAAAGCCTGGAGCCCTGCCTGCCCTGCACCAAGTGTCCCTCCAGCGTCCCCACCGTGGGACAGTGCTCCTCCACACAGGACACTCAGTGTGAGTGCGACGCCGGCTTCTTCCTGCTGCGGAGCTATGGCCTGTGTGTGCCCTGCTCTCGTTGCTCGCCAGGGCAGGGGGTGCTGCGGGAGTGCGGGCTCCTGGGGGACACAGGGTGCGGGCTGTGTGGAGCGGGCACCTTCACCGAGGACCAGAGCGGAACCAAACCCTGTCAGAACTGCACCCCCTGCTCCCCCAGCGAGGTGGAGATCCGTAGCTGCTTCCCCATCTCTGACACTCTGTGCATGGGTGAGTGAGCATATATATATATGATATAACTTTTAACCTAACTGTATAATATCCAGGTGTGTGTGTGTGCGTGCATTTATGTGTGCATGTGTGTGTGTGTGTGTAGAGGGGGGGTTAGATTGGAGGAAAATAAGTGCTCCGTCCAACCTATTTTTCAAACAATTTATTTCTGTTTATTTTGTTTTTTGTTCTTACGTTGTATCTTGTTTTGTAGTTTCATTTTGCATGTGTTTGAAATAATAATTCTTGCAACTAAGACAACATTTAGATGAACCCAGGCAGAAAGCCCGGCCTGCCTCCAGGACAGATGAGGAATGCACTCACTGATGGTCACCTGTGGAACCTAAAGGGGAAAGAAAACACAGACTGAAGTTACGACCTTTGATTTCACTTTGATTCTAAACGAGGGCATGTGTCCGGCTCTTCTGTCCACACGGGGCTGAGGTCAGGGGGGGTCTTCTGGGCTGAGGTCAGGTCCACACACGGGGCTGAGGTCAGGGTGGAGGTTTCCCTGTTTGATCCTGAACCGCAGGAGGCAGGAGTCATGTAGAAACAGAAGCAACAGAAGTGACTGTTTGAAATCCACAGGAGCCGAGGTCACGCTAGAATCACTCAAATGCAACTTTTATCTTAATTTGAGTGGTGTAGAATTGGTCGGTCCCAGTGACAATGTAAAGATGTCGATTACAATGATTTTCAATTTGCCACTGATACGATTACCATAAAATAAGCCAAGAATTATATTGAAGTTGTCCAAAGAAGTTCCTAAAACTAACGTGGCAAAATATTTGTTGTAAAAAGCAGAAAATTCTGTGGAATCATAGTCTATGTTGAATGTTTCAGTGCGAGTTTGAGTTAGGAAAAGCTAAAAATAACTCCAGGTCTGTTTTTTATAAGGAATTATGTTGTCCCCTGGTTAGATCTAAAAAAAAAAAAGAGAAATGATTTTGCATAATATGTACTCTTTAAAATACTTTCTTTTAAAGCAGTAATATTTTGTCTGCCCCTTAGTCAGCGTGTTACAATAGTGAAATATCCTGTGTTTCGTTTTCAGACAGAGAGTTGCACATCATATCGCGCCCTGACGGAGAGGATACGTGGAAGGGTAATGTGAATGAAGTGATAGAGGAGGAGGTCAGCCCCTCCCCTTCGCCTAAGTTCACCCCACAGGAGGAGAGCACCAGCAGCAACAACATCCTGGCGTATGTGTCCGTGCTGGCCGCCGTGGTCCTGGGGCTGCTGGTCTACGTGGCTATCAAGTGGTGAGTCCATGTGTATTCCTCCTCAGGTCAATTTTTTTACTTCCTTTGTGGTTTAGTTCATCAAACCATAATGATTGCTTCCTGCAATATCTACTGTCTGTCTATGTCTGTGGGTCTCTGTCTGTCTCTCTATGTTTCTGTCTTTCTGTCTGTACTTGTCTGTCTGTGCCTGTCTATTTGTCTATGTTTCTGTCTTTCTGTCTGTACTTGTCTGTCTGTGCCTGTCTATGTTTCTGTCTTTCTGTCTGTACTTGTCTGTCTGTGCCTGTCTATGTTTCTGTCTTTCTGTCTGTACTTGTCTGTCTGTGCCTGTCTATGTTTCTGTCTTTCTGTCTGTACTTGTCTGTCTGTGCCTGTCTATCTGTCTATGTTTCTGTCTTTCTGTCTGTGCCTATCTGTTCAGTCTGTCTCTCTGTCTGTGTAGGTCTGTGCCTGTCTGTCTGCCTTTGTCCTTCTGTATGTCTCTGTCTGTCTCTTTGTCTATGTTTCTGTCTGTACCTCTATCTGCCTGTTCTGCCTCTGTCTGTCTGTCTATTTGTGTATGTGTCTGTCTATCTATTTGTCTATAGGCTTGTATCTGTCTGTCTGTGCTTGTGTCTGCCTGTCTGTCTGACTCTCTGCCCGCCTGTCTGTCAGTATATTTTATCAGCGTCTGGGTTTTAGAGTCAGTGACGTCCATGAGAGTATTTTAGTCACATGTCTGTCTTGCCGCAAGCCCTGTTGTGTGTGGCCTGCTCCTCTACATACAAACATGTGTGTGGTGTGCGGTGTGCAGCTGGAGGTCGTGTAAGCAGAAGAAGGCTCTGACCAAAGCTCGGGCTGCGGAGGTCGGGACGTCCACAGAGACAGAGAAACTGCAGAGCGACAGTGGCGTGTTTCTGGACTCACACAGCATCATGGACAACCAGCCCAGCAAAGGTGACAAATGCTGTTCTTTTTGTATATATATTTTTGTATTGTATTTAAATTTTTATTTGTGTTGCAATATAAATAAAATTATAATTATAATTTTTACGGTATAACAGCCAGTGTTCCCTTTCATGGGTCTGACTTCCACCGTGCTTCCCATGGAGCACTGTGAGCGACTGATGGCCGTCTATCTATCTTTATCTATGCAATTTGGCATGTTAGATGCACTTTAATGTACTGTACTGTCATTAATGTACAGTATATACTAGCATTAGCAGCTTTGTACAGTGGTCCATATATGCATATATATTTATCTGTGTCGTAAGTATTACCCTATACTTATACTTTTGCACTGCTGGTTAGATTCTAAACTGCATTGTTCTGACATTATAGTGACAATACATTTATTCAATTTAAGTAAGTAATACAATGCACTCACAATGCATCGTGATCCTTGTAAATCTTTATTTAATAATTATTTTTATTTAAGATAGAGTATATATAGGAGAAAATCATCAAAGCAGATTTATTTATATTTATTATATTGACTCTTAGAGATTTGTTTTTATAAACTTAGCGTTATCTGTCCCAGAACTAGTGAGAAATATTGTGATAAGAGCTTTGCATGGGTACAAAAAACACGCCAACATTTCCCACAGTTGTCCCGAGTCACAGCCTTTCAAAATCCTCTTGGTGCTAGTTTTGGAATTGAGTAATATGCACTTGCACATTTATGAGCAATAGTTTATCCATTACCCCCTGAACCAATGACGGCTTTATTGTTGAACTTATCCTGTTTAAGGCCTTTTTTTAGCTGTACAAAAATAAACTGATTTGATTTTTCTTCTTCCTTACATCATGAATATGCTTTTGTTTTGCCTAGCTTCAATTCACATAATCTAAAACCATCTAGGAGTTAAGTTTGTGTGGTTGTGGATCAGTTTGTGACTGGTCGTTCTTTTCCCGTAGGCACAAAGCGCGACAGCAAACTAGACAACCGCCTGTACGTGAACCTGCCTCCACACCGCCAGGGGGAGCTGGAGGGCTTGCTGCAGGAGGGAGTGCGAGGCTGGAGGGAGCTCGGGGGGGTCCTGGGCTACGACGCCGATCAGCTGGACATGTTTGGAAGAGGAGAAGCCCCGGCCCACACGCTTCTGTCCAACTGGGCCCAACGAGAAGCCTCCACGCTGGGCCACCTGAGCTCCGCGCTGAGCCGCATCGACCGGGCGGATGTGGTGGCCGCGCTGATGTCGCCTGCGCAGGGAGTTTCAGTGGTCTAAAATACCATTCAAAGGCGGGGAAATAATGGAAAAATCAATGACAAAACATGGGAAAAAATCATGAAAAAATGATTGGAACAGAACCAGAGTGACTACCCCATTCTCATCAACACCATTGCCAGAACATTCCCTGAATTTTGTTGTTCTAAAAGCCTGGAACTGGTCCAATTGTCGCTAAACGCATTCAATCTCCATCACATTGAACTGGTTGAATTAAATGACAATGGAAGTGAACGCGTAGACCAATGGCATATTTAAAAGACTTTAAAACTTCTATCGGAGTTGTTCCGCTCTGAGCAAGTGCGATTCCGATCCAGTTTATTTGGGATTTGAGCAGTTGTATGAGTTTTTAAAATGTGCTGTGTTTTAAAAGCCACTACATTAATGTTATTTGTTTTGTTTTTTTACCACATTTTTATCTCCTACGTTTGCTTTATACAATCTGTGCTTGAGCTGAACCCCGGACAATCAAAAGGCTTTGTTGATATTACAATGGCTTCTCACCGCACTAATGCTTTCCATGTTTCCCACTTATTCTACCACAAATGGGTCTGATAACGATATAAAGCTCTTTGTACAAACATGAAATGGAAAAAAAAGAGGAATGTGAATGCTTTGTAAGTAACAGTTTTGTCACATTTAACACACAGTTTATGTATTTTTGTATCTAATAAAGACGAGAAAAGCAAAAGATTTTTTTTTTTTTGCAGCACTGTTCTATCTTTTGTACAGGTGATAACTCAATTGGCCATCTTTCAAATTGATGACAATTGAGTTATTGATAATTGAATTTTAAAAGCGCCTCGAGCAGTAATTTGCTTATACATAATTTCTTGGGCATGGATTTCAACTTGGGATAAAAAAGAAGGAAAGCGTGTTTCTGCTATCATGCGGTATTCCATAATAAATGTTTCTCTCTATTTTTTTAGATGACATGAACAGGCTTAGAAGTTCTCATTGTGCAGTCTGACAGCAGCAGGAGGGAAAGACCTCACCTTCATACAGCGAGGGTGGATCAGTCTGTCACTGAAGCTGCTTTCCAGAGCATTTTTATACAGAAATTGTTGAGGCATATGGACGACACTAAGATTGCATTTAAATAATAAGGCCTAGGGCGTGTCAGGAGCAGTGGTCGCCGTAGAACAACGCCTGGGGACCCATCTTTTGATGTTGATGCTCGGCTTGACCAGGACCAGACCTGGAGGATTTGCCTATTGTACATGTTTTAGTGGTAAGTGAAACCAGAGGAAATGAATGCAGACACAGGGAGAACACACAACCGCCGCTCAGAAAGACCATGTTTCGACTGGGATTCAAACTTAGAGTCATCATGCTGAGAAGCGAGAATGCTAACCACTGCCACCATCGCACTGTGAAACATCGGAAGGTTGAGTTATTTTAGTGACTTTATTCTAGCCTGAGTCACCATTAAATCTGGAGTACCTTATTTATTATTTCATGAATTATAAATTTTTTTTGTCCCAATAGAGAGAGTCCTATAAAAGTATGTGCTGTGAGAAAATCCGACCACAACAACTGTGCAAAACAATATCTTTTGCATATAGTCATGTAACGTGTAAGTCCGTGGAGATAGAATGATGACTCTCAAGATAATAGAACAGGATGGAGCAGGATTCTGTAAGACAGCAGTCACTTTATTCAGAACACATTTTCTAATGTTTTTCTTCCCCTCCTACGTCACTGTCAAATGACACATTTTTACCCAATCACAATACCCCATTGCACTGCTCCAAACTAACAAAGATATATAAGATATATAAAGATATAAGAAAGAGCCCTTTGAGTTTGAAAGAAGGCAGTCCTCTCTTTCACTTTTCTGTCTGAAAAAGCTGATCTTAAGAGGCAAAAAAACACATGCTTATGAAAACTAGTGATAGAGCCAAACTGTTCCAAAGCAAGGAACTCGTTAGATGGATTTTGTTAGATATAGTTCCACTGTTTTTGGTTTGAAAATGTGGGAACTCAGCTTTAACCAAAAATAAATAGAGATTTGGAAAAGTTCCAAAGAAATTTGAACACAGAGAACACATGCCCAGTTTACAGTCCCAGCAAGGTACAAGTTTTTATTCTTGAAAATTGGGCCTTTACTGTGGTACCTAATTTTCAAACTACAAAAGGTGGAAGTATGTGATAAAATCAATCAAACTAGTTCCTGGCTCTTGAACCCATGATCTATGGTTTAAAGTGGAGCAGCCGCTGTGCCCTGGAGCGAGGGTTCTGCAGCTGTCATCACTCCAGACGGGAACATTTTACTGTGGTTTGGACCAGAGGCTTCAGGAAGGGGGAATAGGGGGAGGGCTGGGAGGGAGGGGAGGTAGTGGAGGGAAGGGAGTGAGGGGGTTCAAGCTCTTCACACCACGGCTCTAATGAATCATCATCGTTGCTTCGACTTGCAAACATCTGCTTCCATGTGCCATGCAGACCGGGCCGTGTGTCTGTGGAGCCCTTATAAGCGCGCAATAATTAAAGATTGTGTCAGTGACTTCAATTGTTTTGTTTTTCCTGTTAGTTTTTTTTTATTTTAGGGCAGGTGTCAATACAACTCTATGGGAAAGAAGTCGTTTGTGAATGAAATATTGAGAGAAAAAGAAATATCATTATTATCCAAAGTTGTGACAGTTATTATATTCACAAACTTGCCAACATCCTGTATATGTTTGTTAATATAGTCACCACTTCTAGACACATCTGAGAAAATAGTTAGACCATAGTTTATATGTGCGGACGATGTGGAACTTTGTGGGAGTATTTATATCATGTGTGAATTGACCTAGAGATTAAAAAAGAAATTAACTCTAAAAGTCTGACCTACAGTAACCATAGATACCACCAACAATTTCTCTGTTCCTCTCTATCACAATGTTAAACTATTGGCTGTTTAGGAATGAATACCTCTTTGTACTAACATGAAATGGAAAAAGTGGATTGTGATCTTTATTTTGTATGTAACATTTTTGTCACGTTAGACACACAGTTTATGTATTACTGTTTGTATAAGACAAGAAAAGCAACAGCTCCCCACCACCACCAAGTTAAACTATAGGCTCTTTGAAATGTGCTGATGTCACATTTGAGCGGTTAGACCAGTGTTCAAAAAGTCTTCTGTAATGATTTAAAAAAAGTAAATTTGCCCTAATTATTCAAGCAATCCATCTTTCTTCTAGATGCCAAACATGGACATGACCAAACTCAGTAACTATAAGTAAAATTATTGCTTCATCGTAGTTTTAAATGGTGGCATGATACAATCTTTGTATTACTTAATGTATAAAGGAAATGTTGGAATTCATTTATTTCATTTTGAATAAATGTGTCCCACAATCTCACAATTTTTAAAGTATTGACTTTTGTTTTAATTAAGATTAAGAGATCCTTTATTTGTCCCACAGTGGGGAAATTTCAGTGTTGCATCACAAGTAATAGAACAGTAGGAAAGAGGAGCACACAGCACACGCTAAGTGAACAGTAGCTGTCCTAATTAAAATAAAACAAAACTTCTAACTTTAGCATAATATATAATAATATAAAAACTATCTTGAAAATTATATATAATACATTTTTACATCTATTAAGTACTGTGTATTCTAGTGCAAGTAAAGTCTGGTTATATGTTAGCATCTGTACATTAGCAGCAGTATGTTTACATCTGTATTCTGTAAATTAATATATATTGTCCCAGAAGAATGTCTAACAAATCTGACCACGACGTCCCACCTCCATCTTATTAGAAAACACGTGATCTTTTGGCTGTGTGAGTTTTTTTTATTTTTTGTCTGAAAAAAACTGCTCTAAAGATGTGAAAGGACAACAAAACAGGTGAAAACTAGTGATGGAACCAAACTTTGAGAAATGATTTGATTACATTTACTTTTTTTGTGAAAGTTTCAGAACCTGGTTACAGTTTGGAAGTAAAACTCAGAAACTCAAACGTGATTACAAAAAGGTTTATTATCTTAAAATGTTTTTACACACAGTATGACAATGTGCTTACGCAATAATTACAGTAGAATAGTCTGAACCATAGTTTGTACAAAAGAACATAAAAAAAAATCCTCATTTTCTGAAATAAAACAAAAGCAACTGCGTGAATCCGTCAGTGAATTGACTGCATCAGCTGGTGAGAAGAGCGCCCCCTCTTGGTCAGCTTTGGTAACTTTACATTAGCACTATTTACATTATTAAAAATGAAATGAGTCAGTACAAAAGTGACTGCTACGGTTTTTCCACTCCCCAAACTATGTTTCAATATATTCACACAACTAATTTACAATAATGCATGTTTAGTCATACACTAAATGGACTGTGAAATTATTAGATTAATTTGATAAAATGTATGTAGCCAGACTCAACCTAGTGAAAAAACAAATGGAAAGGAGGCAGAGTGGTCAGAATATGTTAAAAACTGGGCGCACTCAACCAATCAAATGTGTATATTATGGAAAAATGGTGTTTAACTATGAGAGGGCACAAACTATTATTTTTCAAACGTATAAAAAGACACAGCGGTGGTGATCCTGACGCACATATTTCTTGTAGTGAAAGACCTGGACAACTGACCACCTTCAATAAGTTATGATTCCATGTATGGAGAACATGTTTTGACTCGTTTATGGGGGAGAAAAACAGTCACGTCTACAATTTTATAAAAAGCAATGGGTCAAACTGGTCCTCAAAGGGCAGGTGTGGCTGCAGGCTTTAATTCCAACCAAGCAGGAGCAACACCACCCTCTGCCCATTTCCTCCAGTGAGTCCAGTCATAACCTGAAGACTCGAGGAAATGCTTGGTTGGAATTAAAACCTGCAGTCACACCTGCCCTTTCTGGGACTAGTTTGACAGCCCTGCGTAACCAGTCCTGGATTTAATGCTGCTTTGCTGGGAATTTTCCACAAAAGAACATTGAAAGCGTCTACTTCCAAGCGGCTCACAGGACCTATGCATGTTCTACCTTACATTTGACCGATAAACAGTGCAATAACTTCCTTATAGACACCAGACACACAAACAACAGCTATATCTTGATGCACTTAAGGCCTATTATCATTTGACATATTGTGGATTGCAAAAGGCAATAACTAAAGAACAGGCTCCACCCTTTTTTGAGAGACATTTCACTTCAATCGTCGGAATGCATCAATAGTCTCAAATCCTGCAAGCATGGAACTATTTTTAATTGATTTAGATTTTCCAATATGCTACCGAAAAATCAACAATTGTGTAATGCCCTTCAAGGCGATGACAAATTTCGAGCTGTGAAAAGATCAGATTGATTTGCAGAAAAGGCAATGGGGTCTTCCTAACTGGACAATGCAAGGAACATAGACACGGAAACAACTTGGCTTTAAAGAAGAAATATTATGCAGTATTTTTGTACGTTGAAAATCAAACTTTTGTCAACTCATGTTTAAGAATATGAAATAATAGCTTAAGTAGAAAAATGTATGATGGAACATGTAAAAAGGGTAGACGATGCCTTTTCTCGTGTAACTCCTTATGCGGCCACAAGAGGAAATCAAAACATTTAAAAAATCAAATTTGAAAATTACCAGCTGCAATCACTGCCATGTGACTAGAGAATGTCATTTCAGCTGAAATCTTGCCAAAGCTAATATAAGGGCAGAAAACTAACGTGATAATGGTTACAAGTTTGTGCCAAAAGTTCCTGATGTTAGCGTGGATGGATCTAAAAGCAACTCCAGATCCGTTTATGATGAGGGCTCAATGTTGTAACTGGGTCAAAACAGGGAAAAGGTTTGCATAATATGTCTGCTTTGGGCAAATGAAGAGGGGCAAACCATTACAACATGGTTTAAATCTCATTGGTTAAATTCTGACAAAATATATAAAAACATCTCAATTGAATGGACGTTAAATGGATCAGAAGGCAGGGACCTCTGCGGACCGGTTAAAAGCAGCACCGTAGAAAGAACCAGCAAATAGAAGGGCACGCTAGTCATTTAGTAGCAATTCTCTTAATTTTTATGATGTCAATGCCAAAATGACAAAACCCCAAAACGTTTTCCAAATTATAAGCTGGACCGGGTTAAAATGGAATAGATGCGACTGGTGTTTTTAAATGAAATAATGCTAAAACAGTCTTTGAAGAACGTCTATAGCACCTGTCACCGTCACCTCTGCTCAGTCTTGGAGGCAAAACTGGACGACGGATTTGTAGAAAAGATTTGGCGGCCCTGGCTCTCACAGTTTGTGTTAGCAGACCTCGGTGTCTTCTTTGGGCCGGTACACGGAGCCAAAGCGCTGCATGTATTTCTTGATGTACTCTTTCGTCTTGTGCTTGACGTTTTCGTTGCACTCCAGGTCCTCGGGGTTCGTGCACGCCTTCAGTTCCTTGTTCATTACGCCGTGAGTGAGCTGAGGAAAAATATTGAAAAGGAGATGGTTAGGTATAGGTTCAGTGGCTTTACTTCAATTCCATTTATTCTTGTATAGCCAAAAATCACAACAGTACCGGCAGTTAGCTCAGAGGACTTAACAAAACCGTTGAATTTGCCAACAGTAAAACAGCTCAAAAACAAGAGCGGATAAGGGGCGGGTGATCAATGTCCATAAATGTCGAAAAAATGAGGGTTCTCATCATATTTCTCTTCCTTCGAGCAAACCATCACTCATGGGTGAATCCTCCGCACATCATGGATTCAGAAAATACAGTGCCTTGCGAAAGTATTCGCCTTTGAACCTTTTTGAACCTATTTGAACCTTTCAACATTTCGCCACATTTCAGGCTTCAAACATAAAGATATAAAAAATATTTTTTTTGTCAAGAATCAACAACAAGTGGGACACAATCGTGAAGTGGAACAACATTTATTGGATAATTTAAACTTTTTTAACAAACAAAAAACTGAAAAGTGGGGCGTGCAATATTATTCGGCCCCCGTGATTATTTATGATTTTAATGCTTTCTTGTTTTGTTCAGCACATCGAGTTGCCTTGTGTATGAATTGTGCTATACAAATAAACTTGCCTTACCTTGCCTTACTTTGTAGCGCCACCTTTTGCTGCAATTACAGCTGCAAGTCGCTTAGGGTATGTCTCTATCAGTTTTGCACATCGAGAGACTGGAATTCTTGCCCATTCTTCCTTGCAAAACAGCTCGAGCTCAGTGAGGTTGGATGGAGAGCGTTTGTGAACAGCAGTCTTCAGCTCTTTCCACAGATTCTCGATTGGATTCAGGTCTGGACTTTGACTTGGCCATTCTAACACCTGGATACGTCTATTTGTGAACCATTCCATTGTAGATTTGGCTTTATGTTTTGGATCATTGTCCTGTTGGAAGATAAATCTCCGTCCCAGTCTCAGGTCTTTTGCAGACTCCAACAGGTTTTCTTCCAGAATGGTCCTGTATTTGGCTCCATCCATCTTCCCATCAATTTTAGCCATCTTCCCTGTCCCTGCTGAAGAAAAGCAGGCCCAAACCATGATGCTGCCACCACCATGTTTGACAGTGGGGATGGTGTGTTCAGGGTGATGAGCTGTGTTGCTTTTACGCCAAACATATCGTTTTGCATTGCGGCCAAAAAGTTCGATTTTGGTTTCATTTGACCAGAGCACCTTCTTCCACATGTTTGGTGTGTCTCCCAAGTGCAACTTTTTATGGATATCTTTGAGAAATGGCTTTCCTCTTGCCACTCTTCCATAAAGGCCAGATTTGTGCAGTGCACGACTGATTGTTGTCCTATGGACAGACTCTCCCACCTCAGCTGTAGTTATCTGCAGTTCATCCAGAGTGATCATGGGCCTCTTGGCTGCATCTCTGATCAGTCTTCTCCTTGTTTGAGATGAAAGTTTGGAGGGACGGCCGGGTCTTGGTAGATTTGCAGTGGTCTGATACTCCTTCCATTTCAAAAATAGTGCTTGCACAGTGCTCCTTGAGATGTTTAAAGCTTGGGAAATATTTTTGTATCCAAATCCGGCTTTAAACTTCTCCACAACAGTATCTCGGACCTGTCTGGTGTGTTCCTTTGTCTTCATGGTTCTCTCTGCGCTTTAAACAGAACCCTGAGATTCTATTTATCATCATCAGTCATTTAGGACAACATTGGATCATTCAAAGATCCTCACTGAACTTCTGGAGTGAGTTTTCTGCACTGAAAGTAAAGAATTATATCTACAATTATACCGAATAATATTGCACGCCCCACTTTTCTGTTTTTTATTTGTTAAAAAAGTTTAAATTATCCAATAAATTTCGTTCTACTTCATGATTGTGTCCCACTTGTTGTTGATTCATGACCAAAAAATTACATTTTATATTTTTATGTTTGAAGCCTGAAATGTGGCGAAATGTTGAAAGGTTCAATACTTTTGCAAGGCACTGTAAAATTGCAAAAGAGAGTAAGTAGTATCTTGCACAAAAGAGACTATATTTTAAACCTTTTTAACATATTTGCAGACTTCCTGTCTTTCTTCCTCCATTGTGAGATTAATAATCTTACTCAGCAATCTACAATCTAAGATACAAACTTTTGTATCTTACTCAGCCATATGTAAATGTGTGGATCTACTTTTAAAGGCTTCTTGGGCATAACTTTTAGTGAAAACAGTGCATACATGAAGCTCACAGGTGCTGTTAATAAGGAACATGGCTTCACAGTTCTGGTATGTCACTCCTCCCACACGCCATCGTTGCCCAATGACGTGGCTTTTAAAAATGGAAAGGAGCGTGTTTAGCATAATCCATCCACTCATACGGTTACACTTACTTTTCTCGCCAGGTGTTTGAAGTCTTCGGTGTTGACAATTCTTCCCAGTTTGCAGTCAGGCTTCCGATAAGGATTCAGACAGTGTACAATGAACTGGGACATCTAATGAGCACAACACACGTGTCATAACACTGGACAGCAGGCTGCATTCAAGGCACATTTCGTCACTATGACAACAGAACAGCTCACCTCTTTACGGAATGACTCTTTACTCTTTTTTGCCAATTCACTGGATGTGTCTGCTTCAGCTGTTTTAGTTGAAAACTGGAGAGATGAAAATAAAGAGTTATACAAGTCTTTATAAAATACTGAAAATGTTTACAATATTGATCCACGATATTGATGGGCCTGGCCTCTGCAAGCAGTTTTCACCATACGCATACGTCATACCAGAAACGGGGACCCGCGAGTTGGAAGAGTCCAACTTAACTAACTTTTTTTAGACACTTGCGACTCAACTTGGACTTGTCCCCTTAAGACTCGAGATTCAACTTGGAATCGTTACTCAAGACTGAGACTTGACACAAGTAGTTATGACACTAAGAGAAACACCAAGTCCACTATGAAACATAAATGGGCCAGTTGTGACTAACCATGACCACAACATGTTTATTTCTTGCTAACAAAATGGAAGCATGACATTTCTGGGTTGCTGTCTAAATGATTTTATTGTCATCTAAATTCTATTGGAACACCATGACAAATCTTTACTGTGTGACATCACAGACAGAATAGTTTGCTGCTTTTATGACAAAAGTATTGCCTCCAAATTAGTTCTACGAATTAGACCACATCATGTTTGAGTTAAATATAATTATGTCAGAATGTAATTTCCATTGTGAGATTAATAACGTTTTTTTTTTTTTTTTTTAAATCTTATTCAGCCATATTCAATGTGTGGATCTACATTATTTTCATCTGTCATCTCTTACTTCTTTAAGCATGTTTATACATTTGCATTTTCTCTTAAAAGCAGCACTTGGAATAAATACAATAAATATTTTAATTGTTTGACAAAACTAGTTATTAAAAATTGTAAATAAAAAAGAAATCTCACCTTGGAAGGATTTTCATCATAGGTTGGAGTACCCAGGTCCATTTCAGACTCATGTTCCATGGAAGTTTCAGTCGTTCCGTCCCACGTTGGCGGGTCCCACGTTGTTTGCCTGAAAGAAAACCTTTGGATTAGACAAATGGGACTGACATAAACCATTCAAAGTTTAGACTGTATTGCAGACCTTGTTGCAATGTGGTAGTAGTAGATCTTTCCTTCTGGGTCCCGAGCAACTTTCCAGTTTGGAGGTAGAACAATAGTTTTGGGTTTGGGGGGAGAGGGTGGAGGCAGGTCGACAATGTTGTTTGGGACAATCACCTCCTGATGAAAAATGTGAACGGAGACTAATTTTTACAAACTGAATAAGAAAAAAACAGATTGCTGACATGGGGCCAAGCACATTACCTGAGTTTGGGAGGTAACAATGGTGGTAACTGTGCCCCCTTGCTGCACTACCACCCCCTGCTGGCCAGGATAGACTGGTTGACTGTGCAGGTAATTGCCCGCAGGATCGGTGTAGGCCTTAAAGAAAGTGAATCATACCTATTTGAATACAGTTATAGACATAACATGCTTTTTCAAGTGATAATCTGTGATGTTCGTAGCTCATTGTAAAGATTTCATTCATTTCATTCTGCCATATTTCTCTGCCTCTTTATAAGTCTACCATCTCATTCAGCCCTTTGTATCTTTGCTGCAAACTTTTGTGGATTCTTTATAATATACTCTCTTTTCCCCCCTCAGATTTTTATCCATTATTAGGTTTTACTGAACAGGAATCAACAGCATAAAACTGAGAAACAGCAAACAGGAGGAAAATAATGCAAGCAGCGCCAAATTAAATATATAAATATATTTTGTACATAAAATAAATGTATGAAAGTCAACACCATTGTTTTAAACTATTGTACATTATTTTGTGTTCTTTTTAGCTGCCAACCGGCTATATAAACAAACTTGGCTACTTATGTGACTGCATCTGCCTGAATAAACATTTTCAACACACTTAAAGGAGTTCTGGTAAAATGAAAAAGTTAGGTGCACCAGTGAAACCATCCAAAAATGGAGCCCTCTCTACACATCACAGACTCAGAAACTGAAAACCACTGAGAGTGTAAATAATAGGAAATGACTATAACGTGGTCACACGATGTTGAACATTACTTCCCATTATGAGGTCAGAATATAAGAGTGAGAAGTCCGCACCTGTATGACTGGAGTGCTGCCTTGTGGGTAGGCGGTGGGGATGCTGTAGAGCGTGGGGCACGGCTGGCCCTGGTAGTAGATTGCAGGCTGAGGAGGAGCTGGAGCTGTAGTGTACTGTTGGGCTGTTTGTACTGTGACTGCCTGCTGTGTTGCGGGGTCCCACAGAGTTGTGTAGCTCTGACCCTGTACAGGAGGTGCTGCAGGCGGCGGTATAGACAGCACAGCCACCGTGTCCTGAGCAGTGACCGTGGGCTGGACGTACGGCTGTGAGGTCCCTGGTGGGAGGGGCTCTGTGCTGATCTGCTGTGGTATTGTGGATATTGGAACGGCCTGGGGAGTGGAGGAGGGAGAGGACAGTCCTAGAGGAGGAGTCTGCTCATAGGCCATTGGCACTTCCACTGGAGGGGTGGGTAGCAGCACTTTACCTGCATTAGGGTTGATAGGATCTACAAAAGGCTGGACAGGATACCCAGTGGGATATGTAATAAACCCAGAGGTAGAGGCATAAGCCAAGGCCGGGTCATAGCCCAGACTCTGGAGCTGTTGCTGCTGTTGGTGCTGCTGAAGCTGTTGTTGATGAAGCTGCTGCTGCTGCTGATGCTGCAGCTGCTCCTGCTGCAGCTGCAGTTGCTGCAGCTGCTCCTGCTGCAGCTGCAGTTGCTGCTGCTTCTGAGCCTCACGCTGAGCCACTTCCTGTTCAAAGAGTTTCCTGCGCTCCTCTGTGGAGAGCTTGTTTCTTTCCTTTCCTCCGACACTCCTTGGAGTCTTGCTGTTGACATTGTCAAACCTGAGAAAAAAATCAAATAAAAAAATCACTGTTCTGTGTTTAACCAACCTTGAGTGGAAAATGGGCACAATGACTCACCGTTCTTCAGTGCGCCGGCTGCTCCGTTCATAAGACTGAGGAGGGGAGAGCGAGCGCCGCCTGCGCCTCTCGCTGCTGCGGGGCGTTCTATCTCGCTCTCTTTCACGATCGCGCTCATGGTCCCTCTCACGCTCCCTCTCTCTCTCCCTGTCCCTCTCGCGCTCCCTCTCACGGTCTTTGTCTCTGTCTCTGTCGCGCTCTCTGTCACGGTCTCTGTCGCGCTCTCTGTCACGCTCCCTGTCGCGATCCTTTTCTCGTTCTCTCTCCCGCTCTCGGCTTCCTGAAGCAGGACGAGCAGTGTCTCGATCTCGACTGCGGTCTGTGAAGAAATCACAATCATGTAGTGCCCGAAATGAACATCCAAAATGTACACACCAAAAAAATGTGTCTTACCTTCCTTCTCTACCTGGGTTTTTTTTGGTATTCTGTAGACTTCCTGAAAATAAAAAGTTTCAGTAGCAAGAAATCAATAGTTTTCCCAGAATATTTGCATTGCAGAATAGGTTTCAAAAGTTATCTGAGCCAAGTTAAACAACTCCCTTTGTCCTATGGCGCGTTCAGACCGGATCATGCGTTGCGTTGGATTTCATTGCAAAGTCTATGGTGACGCGCGTTGCAGCGTCACAGCGCACGGACCTCTCGGCACGCACAAACGGACTGTTCAGTAGGGACGCACGGACTTGGCGGGAAAGTCAAAAGGGAGGAACAGGAGCGCAAAATCGACGCCCACAGGAGATGGATTCTGCTCATCCTTTCCTTGGGACGTTCGTGCGACAACCAATCAGAGAGCCGCAAAGTGGTCACGGGGACATTAGCGGACTGAGCGAGACTGAAAATACTCATGAACAGCCAAAACAAGACCCACACCAGGCTTCACCAGAACTCAAACCAGGGTTGACAATGGGGGACTCTGTGCTTGTGAAAATATGCGTTGTCATGCTCCCGTGACCTTATGCAACTGCTTCGAGTGTGTTTGCCGATGCGGAAATACCGTTTTATAATATATAAAAACTCATGGCGCACCTCCGTGAACACATACTACTGTTATATAAAGCCCGTGGAAAGTCTCTGTTCAAAGACACGCTGCAAAGCTGCATATTGGAGAAGATCCGCTAGCATAGCTCTGTTAGCATTAGAGCCGGCCGGCTACTTCCGGTACTTCCGGCTCGCGTCAGGACGTTCTGGTGTGAAGTCCTCTGCGTCTGAAAACTAGAGAATGCACGTCTGGTGAGCGGGGCTTCAGTGTTAGAGCTTTTGCGGTATAAATGCACCATAAGTTGAAGTCTGGATGAGAGTGAAAACGATTCTACACCAACAGCTATTGAAACCTGTTCTCTGTAACATGATGCAGACATATACACAATTTCAACAGACCTTCAAATCTTTCCAGCTATCCAGAAGTCGGGCCGCCATCCCGCTGATGTCCATGGTGCTGAGCTGTGGCTCCTGGCTCCTCTCACTCTCCACATCAGAAAGACCTTCATCATCGTCCTGCGATGGCGTGCCGACCACCGATGGCTCCACTGAGGCGGCCGCTGAGGGCACACTGGCCTCCGGCACTTCACAGCTAATCACCGAATCAGCAGCAGAGTTGTTTTGCTCCTTGTTGGTCTTCTCAACGTCTTGTGTCTCTGCCTGCATCTTCAGCTCTTGAGAAGGCCCTGTGGTGGTGAGTGCAGAGGCTGCTAGGTCAGGGGCTGGATCAGAATCCTCCACAGAAGGCTCAACTTGAATAGTTTCAGTCTGGATACCCTCCGCTGGAACAGCCTCTGATAGAACCGCTTCCACTGCAACAGTCTCCACGGGAACAGCCTCCACGGGAACAGCCTCCACGGGAACAGCCTCCACGGGAACAGCCTCCACGGGAACAGCCTCCACGGGAACAGCCTCCACGGGAACAGCCTCCACGGGAACAGCCTCCACGGGAACAGCCTCCACGGGAACAGCCTCCACGGGAACAGCCTCCACGGGAACAGCCTCCAGGGGAACAGCCTCCAGGGGAACAGCCTCCAGGGGAACAGCCTCCAGGGGAACAGCCTCCAGGGGAACAGCCTCCAGGGGAACAGCCTCCAGGGGAACAGCCTCCAGGGGAACAGCCTCCAGGGGAACAGCCTCCAGAGGAACAGCTTCCAGGGGAACAGCCTCCAGGGGAACAGCCTCCACGGGAACAGCCTCCACGGGAACAGCCTCCGCCAGAACAGCCTCTGCCAGAACAGTCTCCACGGGAACAGCCTCTGCAGGAACACACTCCCCTGGAACTTCCTCAGCTGAAAGCGCTTCAGCTTGAACAACGTGGGTAACTTCAAGTCCTTCAGAGACGTCACTCGTGAGCTGATCGTTTCCCTCAGATAGCTCACTTCTTGGTTGCTCATTTTTGACATCTTTTTGCTCAGGTTCCTCAGTAGAAACTTCTACTGTCGCTTCATTTTCCCCTTCATCCTGAATTTCATTTGGCTCTTTTACTTCACTACTTTCCAGCAGCGGAGACAAACTCATGTCCTCTTGGACCTCCATCTCCACCACCACCACCTCAGTGATGTCTTGGTCATGACTGGATGTGGACTCTTCTTGAACGTCTAAACATTTCTCAATAGACACACTCTGTGTCTCCTCTTTAATTTCCGATTCTTTTGTTTTTTCTGTCTCTGTTTTTGATTCGAGCTTGGTCTCCAAGGCCTCGGACAGACCAGCATGTGAAGATTCTTCATCGTCTTCATCCTCATCCTCATCATCCTCTTTTCCATCTGAGGCTTTGCTGGCATCAGAGAGGGCACTGTCCAAACTGTTTTCACTGATGATTTTGAGGCGTCGAAAAACAGAAGGTTTGGCAGAGTCGTTGTCCATTTCTGCTCCTGTCTTAAGGTTGGATCCATCAGGGGTGTTGAGCGGTGTTTGGGCTCTGGACGTGTTTTCGCTGGAGTAGCCATCGTTCTCTGCGGGCTGAGGGCAGGAATGAGCCCAGCGCTGAATCAGGGTCAACACTTTGCTCTCCTCCAACATGTTCTTAGTGGAAATCGGCAACACAGCCAAAGTCTTCAAAATCTGTAGAAATGTTACACATTTTAGATATGATTTCTTGTAATGCAGCCTGAATAATCAAATAAGTATAACTATTATTTTAACAGTGTACGTCAAATGGGGAAATTGTTTAGTATTGTGGCTTCAGATTTTCTATTGTCAAACCTTAGACAACAATGAATCAAAAATAATATGAACATAGTTGACTTGTATCGCTTATAAAAGATGAGAAGATACCAAGACAGATTTTTCAGTTGCTTTCTAACACAATTTTAAACTGGGACACAAATGCAGACGCTGGCTATGTTGGTTAACCCATTGCCTGCCATGATGTCTTTTTGTCTGAGGTGATTCTATTTTCCCTTGACTCGATTGGGGGTAACAGGAGAACGAAACAAGCTAAAAACAAACGTCTTTTTGCTGCGGAAAGTAGTCAGTCCAGTCTTTCAGAACCTGGAATTCAGATTTCACATATATTCATAGTACACAATATTCTGTTGGTCTTGAATATCAGGGGAAATCCTCAAAAACGGCTGACAGGCAATGAGTTAAGTGTCGGACCCAAGAACCCACTACACCATTCACAAATGGAAGCTGGTTTCACACTGACCGACCTTCGGGTTCTGTCCATCTGACTGTTTAACCAATGAAGCTTGTGTTGGAAGCAGAATATAAACTGGCAACCTTCAGCTCAGAGGATACCACATTATGAAGTGTTACATTAAAAGGGGGCTGATGTAATATAAAACAGTTCTGTTAAGCTCTGCATACAACTGAGGAATTTGATCTTCACTCTTCTTATTCTATCACAGCCATTCGAAGTCAAAACTATTGCAAAAAGCTATTCAAATAAACTTGAATACTGGAATAAAACATAACTTTGTGGTAAGATGAATAAAATACACACCTCCAGCTGTAGCTTGATGTTATTGGCAGTGTTGCCTTTTGCTTCAGACAGTTCCACCATGAAGATCCAAAGCAGCGACAGGCCGTGGTGGTCCAGGAACTGTTTGAGGCACGATGGATTCTGAGTGTCCTGTAAAGACACATCAACTGTATCAAAAAGATGAACAAAAGCCATGTCTGCTGCGTGAACACGGTACCTGGATGAGTTTCAGACACAGGAGTTTCTGTTCCATAGTTTCCACTCGGACCATTAGTCTGCACAGAGCAACCACCTGCTTTTCATCATAAAGGCCTTCTCCATAGTCTAGTAAGGCCTCCAGTTCCTCATCAACCTGGAAAATAATCATTGGGAATACATGTCTATGATGAATAAAGAACAACAAGAAATATGGTTTACATTTGCTATAACCGTTCTTCCTAGCCAAATATAAAGGCCTTGATACACCACCAACCAGACTTCAGCCAACACCCAACAGAGCAACAGGCAGTGATGTCTTAATATATAGGGTCTGTGGTGAGGGATTTTTCCTTAAAATGACTTCAGCAGAGAATAGATGCTGGAAAGGGGTGTCAACACAGTATACGCGGTGACCCACAGAGAAAACGCATTTTTACATTTAAGCGCATAAACGCGCATTGCGGATGTTTCCGCCAACATCGATTACCTGTCATCAGAGATTTTGCAAATCTCAGTCTTTTAGCTTTTACTATGACTGAATCCTCTCTCTCACTCTTTATAAAATAATGTGAATATTATTTTGTATAAAAAATTTAAGAACTGACTGTTGTGAGGGCACTTTTCCGGGTGCGATCCTTCTTCATTCTCCCACCACTCCCGCCAGCGGCTCGAACACTCACACGGTTTTCCCCTCCAAGGAAACCTCTGCAGCTGGGAGCTCCACAGTAGCATTTCTGAGCTTCTTTACTGGAAAAAACAAAAAACAAAACAAACAATACAAATTAAGCAAATTATTATTTATTTTATCTTAAGTATCACTGAAATGTTCTGGAGGACTGTGTACACAGTTCCCATGTCATGTATAAAATATTCTGCAGCATGAAATGTTATGTATTTAAAGCCTTGTGGATTGGATTAGATAGTGGCTACAGATTATCTGGTGATACTGTTCAAAAGGCAGGAATAATCAAGTGAAAGCAGTGAAAGTCTGACCAGACCATCACCAGTTTGTGTAGATCAGCCATTCCCAAACTCAGTAACACCGAGGCCCCCTTAAAAATCTGACGGGTCTGCGTGGCCCCCCAAAATAATAACCAAGAAGACAGCATTAAGAATAGGCTCTTTTGGTTATTTTATTTTGGGGAAATAGCCTCTGCTACAAACATTGTAATACAAAAATGATTACAGTGGCTTATTCAAGTCAAATAATGAACACAAATATTTTAATATTACAAACAAAACATTATACATTTAACATTAAATAATTATATATATATATTTTTTTTTTTTATGACCTCCCGCGCCCTCGCGGCCCACCAGGGGGCCGCGGACCCCACTTTGGGAGACACTGGTGTAGATTGATAATGTGTGAATTTTGTGTTTGGCCCAAAAAATACATTGTAAAAGCAGTACTTTGTGACACACTCAGTTGAACTTATTATGGGTCTGTTCAAAAGAGCCGTTGTAAAGTAGCTTGAGAATCATTTCCAAATAACTTGTGAAAGCCTGGAACAGGTTGGGTAGGTTTCAACTTCCCCTTTTGAAATTTAACTAGGACCCTAACAAAAAAAGTAAGAAAATATTGTGAGTACCCATATCTCTGGAACTGATAGTCAAAGGTGAGCTCAGTCCCTTGTGTCACTGCTTTAGTGGTGAAGAAACCAACACGAAGCTGTCCGTTGACCGTCCACTGAAAAACAAACAGCAGCTTGAGTTTAAAAAGAGAAAGAGTATTTGTATTTATAATTATTCTTTTTTTATTATTACCTTTTGTGTTTCGCAGTTGGGTTCGCAGCTGTGATTCATGAAACGCGAACAATTACCTTTCAGTGTAGCGTCAATAATCTGGAAAAACAATAATATAAATATAATTAAACTATAGATTTAAGATGCACTCTAAACTTGGTATTTAATAAATTACCTCGTTATTTTTCAGAGACATAAAGTAGTAGTGGATGTTCTTCATCCGGGCATATTCTTTCACTCTCGTCTTAAACTCCTTATGGTCCAACACCTCCCCACAGTATTCCAAAACAAAAGTATTTCTGGAAAAGATTTTAGTTCAGTCTATTTTCCATTTGAAGTTTATAACATGATTGAAATAATGTGCCCAGACACCAAGTGCCAGAGTCAAATTTGTAAACATCTAAATAAAACCCACAGCATACTAAAAGAAAATACAGAAAGAAGCTAATGTTTAAGTTCTTGGACCCTGCTGCCTCTATAATGAATGGCCAATGCATCATCAGCTGTTGATCTCCAGAGCAGATGAAGTAGCAGACATTCCTTTGTTTAGCTTCATCAGCTGTTTGGTAAGTCTCACATTACAACAAGAAAACCAGCAGCTTATATTCAAGTGCGGCCTATGCATGTACAAAATGTTCTTTCTCTTCAAATTGAGATGGTACAGTTTATATAGAGGTGTGCTCAACAGTCCAGAAAGTACTGTAGTCATTTCACAAAATGCAGAAGTTTAAAGATGTAACATATTGATTGAATACTCACGCGGGCATGTCTCGAGCAGCTCTAAGACCCCAGCCTTTGTCCACAGTGAGAATGACCTCAAAATCTGCATGTTGTTTCATCTGAAAGCGACGGTTAGAGCAGTAGGTTCCATTCAGGCACCGAGATGAACTGAAATAGTTTGAAAACATGTGAATATTCTCGAAACGGTACCATATTCAATATGTTTTGATTGAACTCTAAGTACCATTCGATCATGAGCAGACGATTTAAGCAGTCCTCTCCACATGCCATCACTCCCTTTGAACGCTCCTCTCTGGACAACAGCGGACACTCACACTGCATTCGTTTGATATCTCTATGAGATTTGCTTTTCTTCCTTCACATAAAATAAAACAAATTAGTGAGTGAAAAAACAAAGGAACAAACTCAAAATTGAGTATCCACCGACCTCTCAGTTAGATACAGATTTTCTTCTATTAGGTCAAAATATGGAGGCATCTTCTTAGACTTTGAAAAGTCTTTCCACTTTGCAGAGTCTTGAAAGTCCCGTAACTTGAGTAATGGAAGCTGGATTTCAGTTTTGACTGGGTCCTTTACACTCTCTCCCCGTCGGTCCTTTTTGTTTGTAGGTCCTGCTTCCGCCTCGTTGTCAGAGTCTGATTCCACCTCGGGGCGTCTTTTTTTTGGTGGCCCCCGGGATCTGAAGGACTTAAAACTATCTTCCTTTGTAGGCTCTGCTGATGCCTGACCTCTGCTGTTACTGCTTATTTCATGACCTTGGACAAAACTAGACACGCCTTGGCAATGTAAAGGCCCAATGGAGTTAGCTGCAGCTCGCCCTCCGCTGTACACGCCGAGGTCATTAGTGAGAGAGTCCGGGTGAATTTCATTTATGGACCGACACATCTGTGGAGCGGTGGAGGGATCCGTGATGGGGTCATTGCTTTGCATTTGTGAATAGGACAGTGATTCCGCCAATCTGCTGTCCATCACTTGCATCCCGTGGCTGCTGTCCGGCTGTGGACAAGTACTACTCGGCTGCTCAGCTTGAGTGTAACTCCAGGGAAGACTATATCCATTTTTATCAATTAGCCCGTTTGCATTGGGAAAAGGATCTTGTTTGTAAAGAGAAAAGGGGATTTCGTTTACACTGTTAGGATACAGTTGGAGCCCTTGCTGGCCAAAACAATTGCTATTCTCGATTGCTGCCCTCTGTGCGGTTAAATACAACTGGGAGCTCTCAGAGTGACTGGTGCTATCAATCATGTTACTTTGGGATTGACACATATTTGCTGGAGCCATAAAATGTCCCTGAATTTGTTGTTTATCAAGACTCTTTTCAAATGACAAATTATCATTATGAGGGACCACACCATTCTGCCCTAATATGTTTTCACTTGTGGGGAGTACTACCATAGAGTGATGCTGCTTCATGGCTTCCCCACAATCAGAGTCATACTCAGAGTTGTCACTGTCACTGTGTCCCGGTAGTAAATTTAACGGCCTCATGTTGTCATTCATAATTGTGTTTTCATCATTAGCAAAAGACTTTCTTATTCCTTGCTCACTTGGATTAGTGCAGATGTTTTCCTCTTTAAATGCACTTTGAAGTTTGCTGCTAACAGACTGAAGCACATGTGGCTTAGCTCCGATTTCTTGATTGTAGTCTTTTGAGAAATCTTGCATGGGCTCCGTCTCGGAAATGAACTCTTCTTCATTCTGGCCAACAATATCCCATCGAGACTTTCTGTTTTCACTGCTGAGATTTTCACCAGCGTCATCATCATGTTCTGTATATGTCCGATTATTTTCAGAGGTTATTGACAATAAGTTGAGGGACGCTCCATGGTGAGGCTGGTTACTTGAAGCTGATGTTGGATGGAAATAACCCATTTCCGCTTTCTGAGTTTCCTGGTTTTGAACCTCTTGGGAGACACTGGATAGAATTATTGATTCTGGAAGATGGTCTGTTGATATTTTATTGCACAACACATCGTCACTTTCATATGAAGTAGGGATTAGATTTGACATCACTTTCTGGTCATTTGGTTCTGCATTTGGAATAATACCTTCTCCCTTATTTGTTTCTATGTCAACCAAGTTTTCATTTGTACCTAAAGATAGACTTCTCTTTTCAAGCTCTGTCCTCTTAGTGTCACAAAGTTCCTTTGAACTTATCCTTTTGTGGTTTGTATTTTCACTTCGCTCTTCACTTTCCGAACACAATTCTACAGTGGAGACTGGTGGTGTTTTTTGTGGACTGTGAATGCTGTCATTTAAATTTCTGTCCTTTGTTCTGTGTGTATCTTCATGACGTGAAGACCCAGAACTGTTTGAATGTTTAGAGTCCAACCTTTTTGTGTAATGTGCATTTTTTGTGTATTCATCTGAACGAGAGCGCTTGTCCGATGAGTGTGATTTGTCACTATGTTTCCCTGATGAATGAGAGTGCCGGTAATCGCGTTCATTCATGGGGGAACTTAATTTGCTATTAGTCTCCGACTTGTGACTTGAACTGGATTTATGATGATCAGTAACAGAAGAACTCCTGTTCTGGGAGTCAGAAGGCCGTTTTGATGACCGTTCCACTTTGGACGACTGATGAGATTTGTCAAATTCGGACGATTCTGCTGATTTCGAGGACTTCACATGAGAAGATCTAGACTCTTTGTGTGAACTTGAATGGGCTGATGACCGACTTGATTCACCGGTCCGTGTTCTGGCTTTCCTCCGGTCTTCATCAGACTCTGAACTGTCCTGATTTCTTTCAGTACGTGAGCGGGAGCGCCTCCTCTCTCTCCGTGGAGAGCTCCTGTAAGAGGACCTCCTTTCAGACTCGTGATAATGCGATCTGTCGGAGCGTGAGCCTCTGTCGCCACGGGACCTGTCCAGCTTGGAATGAGATGAACTTGTGCGAGACCCTCGTGACCGAGAACGTGAGCGAGACCTTGACCTTCTGCGATCTGATCTTGATGAACGCGATGAGGTGTATCTTGAATCTCTATCAGATTTAGAGTGACTTGAAGATCTTTCATGCCTGTCTGAGCGTTTAGAGGAACTCTTTTCTTTTTCGTCAGAGTGTGAACTCGAAGAATGCTTCTTTTCATCCTTTTTTCTACTGCTTGAGCTTTTAGAGTCTGATGATTTTCGGGTGGAAGATTGGCCTGAATCACCATCTGACTCCACAACAGTTGCACTGTCTGAATGAGTCCTGGATGTGCTTTTATGCCCTTTACTGTTTGACTCTGAGTGGCTAAAGCAGACCTCTCTTCCTGAGGAGGCTGCAAGTGTCTGTAGGATAGCTGTGATTCTTGACTCTGGTGTTTCGTTGTTAAACTCTGCAGTCTGAGGTGATGTAGATCTTACAATTCTTTGTGAGGGAGAGACAGAGGGAGAATGTTCTTCAGTTACAGAAGCATTAGGAATGTGCTTCTTAAAAAGAATCTTTGATAAGTCCACAAGTTTAGTTGGGGAAACAGGAGGTTGCGCATTTGTATTTGCTCTTGTTTTATGCACAGGTGAAGCAGGTTGGGGCTCATGTTTGGAGTCTGCATGATGATGCCCCTTCCCTGAGCTGGACTGCGGTGGGGCAATAGAATCCACTCCAGACTTTTCAGGGCTGGACGATCTGAAGAAAACACTCTGCAGTGGCTTCTTGGTTTGTGAGAAACTGAAGGACACTTTCTGACGACTCTGATCTTCCAAGTTGACCTTCATCTTGGTTCCTTTAGGCAACAGGTGGTTGGACAAAAGGACTCTAGGGGACAGGCTATTGATTAAGGCTGTCTTGGAGAGGCCCTCCACCTTAACCTGGAATGAGATAAAAAAGTTCTAATAAGATTCACTTCAGCAATCTGACATAACAGTGACACTCACTAATTAGAAAACGCAAAAACCAACAAATGTATACTACTTTGTTTATTTGAAGACTTACTGAGGCACCACTTCCCTCTTCTGTGTTTTCAAAATAGAACACCAAAGAACCATAAGAAGAGAAGGGAAAAAGAAAAAATATATATATCAATCAATCGGAAACAAACATGTGCTTAAAGACAATCATGTTGTTTTCTATGAAGATACAATTGGATATGATCATATTTTAATGAAAAGGAAGGTTTCTCACCCATCATCTGTACTTCTTAGCAAGTTTTCCCGACGTTTCGTCCTCAACCTGGGGACTTCTTCAGGGAATGAATTCTCTGAGATTTATAACCTATGGGTGTGGTAAGCCACACCCATAGGTTATAAATCTCCAACGCGCGGTCCGAGAATTCATTCCCTGAAGAAGTCCCCAGGTTGAGGACGAAACGTCGGGAAAACTTGCTAAGAAGTACAGATGATGGGTGAGAAACCTTCCTTTGCTTTGACTAATCCCTGTACGACTGAGGGCTTACACAAACTTATCATATTTTAATTTCATATTTGTTTATTTGGAATTATCTATCAGGAGGAACATCAATAAAAGCATCTGAAAATGAAGAAAAATCTATTGGGTGAAAAAAGCAATAGAAGAACTATCAGGAAAGTCAAGTGTCAAGATAAAAAAAAAAAATTCAAGGAGGATCTTGTGTTAAAGAAGTGTTAAGCATTTTAGGATAATATTCAAACTTATATTCACAGCACAAATTGTGATTAGGGGAAAGATAAGATGAGATGAGATATACTTTATTGATCTCACAAAGGAGAAATGTACATGTCACATCTGGCCTGGATGGAAACACTCAAGATTGTGCAAAAAGAAGGAAATGTGCAAACATGTTAAATGCAGGATAATATGTACAATAAAAAGTGTCAATTTAAAAAGTGGCAATCGGAAACAGTGTCAATAGTAGTGCAGGTTTTTTCAGTCTAAGTGCTGTGACTTAAAGTGACTTGTTGTACAGTCTGACAGCAGTGGGGATAAAGGCCCTGCGGTAGCGTCCCTTCTTACACTGAGGGTGCCTCAGTCTTCCACTGCCAGAATATCTACCAAAGATTATGCACGGTGAAATAGCATTTAGCATCTTGAAAAAAACTTAAATATGTCAAATTCTGGGTTGCAGTTAATCTCCTAAAGCAGTAATCCCCGAGCAGTGGTCCCTGCAGTCCACGCACCTACCAATGGCCCTAGGGGGGATATCCACATCAAAGAGAGGCTCACGAAGCGAACAACTTTTTTTGCATACTGTAACTAATCAGAGAGCAGCAAAGTGGTCACAGGGACACAAGCCGGTCAGAGCAGGAAGACGAAGACACTCGAAAACAGCCTAAACAAGAGCTAAACCAGGACTAAACCAGGATAAAACCAGGAATGCTTGAATATGTCTTCACCCTGAGTTGACATTCTTTACAATCACAATCGCTGATGAGGAAGTAACGGTAGATAATACAGCCACGAGGCAACTTAGTGGACAGATACTTCTGTTATATGACATCACGGGAGGATCGAGACACAGACTTGCCGCGGAGCTGCACTTGTGTTGAAAAACATTTGGAAGAGCAAAAGTGTCGCTAACGCCCCCCTCTACAAATAACTTTTCAACTATTTCTATAATTGATTGGCAACTACTTTAACCCATAATGATGAAGGGAAAGGAAAGTTCAGGATGGGAAAACAGTATTGGAATTCAGAGACAAAGAGGACCAGGGAACTCTTCCATTTTAGTCTTTAACTCATCCCTTTACCACTTTAATTTAGTCTGTTTTGTTCCAGCGTTTTTTAAACACATTTGAAAAACTTAGCATTCGGAAGCAACATTGTGGTTTAGAAAGTATCCTGGATTCAGATCTGCTATGTTGACGCCCAAAGGACTGCTATATATCCAATTTCAAAATATGTATCCAAAAAATATTCACAAAACTGGCATGTTCAGTGTGATTGTGTGTTTTACCTGATTTCTGACTTGAGCAAAGGGTCCATGGAGAAGCAAGTCAAGGATTGGATGCCCTGGAGGGTCTGGTGGCCATGAATAGTATCACTCAGAGAAACTGAGCCTCCAAAGTCAGTCCCCACCTGATCAAAGACACAGCTGTTATGAACGACAAATGATCACCGACCATAGGCCATAATGCTGTGGTCACATGTTTGTAAAATAAAAACAATATTCCACACAATAATATAGAATATAATGCAGGCGTTTTGCAGCCGCATTTCCCGCTCTGCCTTATCAGTGTGGTGTTGGTGTGTGTGTGTGTTGTTGAAGTAGAAGAACAGATACCATTTAACAAATGGTTATAATAAAATGAGCTCCTGAAGCCTGTGCGTGAGAGATAATAACGTTTAGAGCGTTGTATAGAACAGATTATAAATCCACTGTTTGATCTAGTTTCCTTGCGTGACCAAAATGGCCAGTATGTGAATGCAGTCAAAACATGGCCCGAGAACTAGTTGTTTTGGTCATTTGAGAAACTAATGTCTTTTAAATGAGAAAGTCCATACGTATTGTGATCACAAAGAAGAAGTCTTTCCTTTCCAGAAGTCTGACAGATAGTGTTGAGAATAACCAGGTTACATTTTAGATAACTACTCTACACGCAACGAGCTTTGATCGTTTACAAAAAGCACTGGAGTGCCATCTTTAAAGGCCTGAAAGCTAGGAGTGTACATAGGTTATGTTACTCTGCTGCATTCGTACGACTGCCATGTGTAAACCTGTTATCAGTATGCTCAGGTACACCGATGTTGAAGTTTTTAAATTTGCGTTTTTATTCTGCATGCTGTAAACCGAGACTCGATTAGCATTAGCCCGGATGGCTAACCCACTCACTCTAGCTTTCCTCATCACTGCACAGCAGCAGGCAGCAGCTAGCTTAGCTCCTCTCTAGAGTTGCCCACGTAAATAGACACACATCTAATACTTGACGCATTACTAATGATTGTATTATGATTATTATAAACCCACCTGCCAATTATAAAGCCCACCATATAGCAATAGCCGATTCTCAGTACCCGGCTTCACAAGCCATATATTAACCTTGTATTGGCCCTGTCTATTTTGCCAACATTGTATTGGGAATTGCATGAGCTATACGATTACTTACTTAATCAAATACGCGTGCTTTCGGGATACTTCCATCTCTGTATATAATGATAACCGTCTGAAGACATCAGCCGCGATATGCGGACGTCAAATCCACCCCGGGCTGCAGGAAATGGTGCTGTGCTCCGCGGCTCTGCTGCGCCCAGCTCCAGCATGGACCAGTGTGAGCCAGCATGGCCTACATAGCTCCACACACATACGTACAATAGTTAATAGTGGCGTGAATCGTAGTTTACGGCCATTTAAAATCACCGAATCAATATTTATTTGTCAGAAGGTAAATGCACTTGATAGCCAAATAAGAGCGTTTATAGCGCCCACGGAAAGGTGCGTGTTGGTCCCTGAAGGCGACATGGCCAAATGTCACGTGACGCTCAGGGTAATTAGTTTAATCGCTCTGCTAATTTTTTGTTCCATCACAAATAACATTGATCTCAATTTTCTTGTGTTAAAGGAGATGGCACAGGGTATACGCCTCTAAGCCTTTGTTGTTGTTTTTATTACACTTTTCTTAACTATTGTACCCTCATGCTCCACATGGGGACGCTCGTCTTCACACTAGTCCCTTGCGCCTTCTGCTTCTGCCATTTTGCTTTCCTACTCATCGAGATTGTCCGCTTCTACGATTTTTGGTGTTTTGTTGAGTTTTATTTGCTCTAAACCGATCAGATACTTTGGTTCGAGTCGTGTCTTGGGCTTCTAGTAAGTTATGTTGTCTGGAAAGTGATGAGGTTTACATAAAGCCACCTCGAATGTTGTATTTGTGTGAATTTTCATGGCGTTAGCTTTTGTCGAGTGTCTTGTAGCTTGCTAGTGTTAGCATCTTAGCCTATGACGACTGCTTGAAGAGCACATCCATTTGTGATTGAAGTGATATGATTATCTTTTGTTGTATTTGGAGCAGATGCTGTAGTTGATGTGTCATGGCTGGTGTAGGATGAACTGTGATTTGTTTCTCGTTATTATTATAGATCCATGTTGTTTCTTTCATTGGACCAGGAAGTCATTTTCGAATGCTGCATTTCTTGCGACATCTTATGATGACGTCCTATATTTGCAATTATTTATTAAAGAGTACGTTTAAAATCTGCAGTAACGAATGTGGGATCATGAATTGTACAGAAACACGTATGTTATGTGCTTCGTCTCAGTTGCTTTCTTTTCTGTGCATTCTGCTTTCTTGATGGTCAAAGATGCTCCACCTGCTTCATGTTTTCACACTCGTCTTTGGTAAGTTACAGCTGGCCTGGGATTAACTAATGAACATCAAAGTGGACATCAAGTGCCATGGGATCTCTACCAAATTCTTGAACTTTTTCCACTGTGGTGGGATTATTTTTACTATGTCACATGAGCTTGGACAATGACAAACTCTTATTTTTCTTTGGTAAAGTTTTTTGGAGAACAGGACCTGATACAGTTGGGAAATAGGGATATTCAGCATTTGTTGTGATTTCTTTTGGTTACCCTGCATGGTGATGGAATTCTTGTTTTTATAAACATTGTTACATAAGAGAAGCATGAGTCCCATTGGATTGTTTGAGAGCCACTTCTCTTCAACGTCTACAGAAGCCAGTTCAGTTGGCTTGTATCTGTTTTATCTTCCCTTGAAACGCACCCTCCTGGGAGACGACGTTTTTCGGATGGCCTAGGAGCGCCTGGATTAGTTGGAAGTATGCATGGATGGTTACCACAGAAACACTCTGTTCAGATTGTTGCCTCTGCGACTTGGCAACGGATAAAGCTGAAGAAAACGGATGGATGGTTTCCTGTTTGGGAATATTTCCCTCTGTGCTTGACTATTTTTTTCTAAAGCTCCTGCAAGATGCTGAATTTGGAACCTCATGAATCGGTGAAACAGCTTGACTCACCTGCCTCAAACTGAAATGCTGTTTCCAGCAGCCTGTTTTCATTCATTGAAATACGTGGGCCAATTGCGGTGGTCACTTGATAAGAATCGCTGTTTTGCCCTTTTAACTTTTATTTGCATTTCAATGAAAGATGCAATGGGTTTTAGTAATGACCACTTGGAGCTTTCTATTCTCCCCTAATTGCTATTGGCATTAGACCATTTGGTAATCTGAATGACATTTTACGTGAAGATCCAGGATATTTTCATGTATGTCTGATGGAGAAGAAGAAATACTATTGTCAGTCTCCATGAGTTTTCTTTTAATCTAATATGATAGTTTCGAGGGCCTGGCAACTATTAGAATTTTCTTTTCTTAATGTAATGAAAAGTTAAAACTTGCTGTTTTAGAATGACAGATTTAAAATGCCAACGAATGACGGATTTAAAAAAAGTTATCGTTCTCATAGGAGAATTGTTAGCATTAATTGTCTGTGCCCTTTTGTCTACAGGTGGTGGTGTTTCTTGGTCAGCATGGCAGTCGTCATCCGTTTACAGGGCCTTTCGGCGGCAGCGGGTTCTCAGGACATTCGCAAGTTCTTCAGTGGCCTTAGAATTCCAGATGGGGGTGTGCATATAGTTGGAGGTGACTTGGAGGAAGCGTTCATCCTATTTGGCTCTGATGAAGATGCAAGAATTGCCATGATTAAATCTGGGGATTATATCCAAGGTGCACCGGTGAAATTGCTGCTGAGTAGTAAAACGGAATTGCAAAATGTTCTGGAAAGAAGCTCTGTAAATTTGCTCATGAAAGAAAAACCAAGACCTCTGAAGATGGAAGGACAGAGAGGCTCCAGAAGATCTTCAGGAAAGCTGGGATATTCCCCACCGCGGCACAGGAGGGATACAGGAATGGAAAGTGAACGACAACTTTTGCTGCGAGGAATGCCCTTCGCTGTTACTGAAAAAGATGTGTTCAAGTTCTTTGATGGTCTGGCTGTAGATAAAGTGGTTCTTATGAAAAACAATCGTGGACAGAATAATGGGAATGGCCTTGTGACATTTGCATTGAAGGAAGATGTAAACCGGGGGCTACAACGACACAAGGGCTACATTGGTACCAGATTTGTTGAGGTTTATACCCTAAAAGAATGGCACAAGGTTTTTGGGGAGATGCCACCAGGCATGGCTCTGCCTGTTGTGTCTGAAAGGCGACACCAATCGCCACCTCGCCATCAGGATACTTATCGTATAAGATCACGATCTCCTTTAGCTCATGGCTCCTCACCTTCCAGTGGTGAGTACTGTGTTCTTTTGGACAATCTATCCTATGCAGCCGAAAAATTGGACATCATGAAATTTTTTGCCACAGCTCGGCTTGGAAGTGATGAGATTCTCTATCTGCTTGATGGCAATGGCTTAAAAACAAGACGTGCTTTTGTCCTCTTTAAAAATCTGCAGGATTATCGTGATGCTTTGGATTGTGACAACCAAATTATGATAGATCGAAACGTCAGTGTTCGTCCAATCTCGAGAGAGAAAATGCTCCGTCTTCTGCAAGATCAGAAGATCAACCCCCCCAGTGACCAAAATGGAATTCATGTGAAGTTCTTGCCATTGGATGTGAGGAAAGTTGAGGTCAAAGATTTCTTTGCTGATCTTAATGTAATTGAGGATGACATCATCCTCCTGCGTGATCGGAAAGGAGCTGGTCTTGGTGAGGCAATAGTTTTGTTTCAGTCTGGGGCAGAAGCTATGGAGGCCCTTAATCTCAATGGGACAAGATTTCTGGGATCACAGGTTCGCCTACGGGGAGTTTCACAGTCTCAAATGCAGGAGTTGATTAATCCACCAGTTGCACCAAAGTCATTGTCAAGAGGCGATCGTTATTCAGGTCGGAACATCAACGCATCCAGTTCCACGGAAGTTGATGTATTTTCAAAAAGATCAGCAAGAGGTGATCGTCCCCGCACCTCCAGGGACACTGCAAGAGGCTCACACAATGAACCCAGAGGCTCACACAATGATGCCAGAGAGGGTACTCGTGGTGGGGCCAAGCTTTCTGGTCAAGATGATCCCAAGATGTCTGGTCAAAATGGTCCTACGTGTATTAAGCTGGTTAACATACCTTTTAAAACTCAGATAGAAGAGGTATATGACTTTTGTTATGGCTACAGAGTAATCCCTGGGTCTATCTCCATGCAGTATGATAAGGCTGGTTCTCCGAAAGGCACTGCCACGGTGGTGTTTGAGACCCGGCAGGAGGCTATAAGAGCCATTGACGAACTTACTGGCAGACCAATTGGTGAAAGAAATATTCACCTTGTGTTTCTATAAATTTAAAACATAATGACTTGGAGAAAAAAAAAACGAATTTCCAACTTTTTGGTCTCAACTATTTGAAGATCAGTATTTAATTTACATAGTTCTGGAATATGCTTTTCTGTTGTAAGACAAATGGTCCTGAGGTATTGTTTGAAATATGTAAATAAAGTTTTTTTGAAAGTTTTTATCTCTTCATATTCATGGACAGTGATATTGGTGTAGGCTCAAGTTAAAATCTATTCAGAGTAAATGGAAAATTCACACCACCGGATTTATTAGATTGACCATAATATCTACTTCGATATTTAACCCTTTGCTATCCTCAGGTCAAATTTAACTGCCATAGAGATTAAATAGCCTAAAAAAATGTTTTTATACTATTTGAGGATAACATGCTAAATGAAGCTTGTGCCTATGATGGCTACAGAGACGAGCTAAAAGCAAATAAAAAATCGCTGGAATCAAATACTAAGTTTTCCATTAAAAAAAAATAACTGCATTGCATATCAATAGCACTATGATTTGATGATGAGCCATCATATAGAATATTTTCTTTGATACCGAATAGAGTATAGTAAGTGTTAAATAAAAGTACATGATGGAAGGATATTTAAGATCAATTAATTAATCAAGTAGGCTGTATTTTTATTAGATTCTGATCCCTGCATTATTAAAATGTGTCTACTGATAATGATAATTCAGAATACAATTGTCTAGACTTATACCAATTAAACTTATAAAAGTAGGTATTTGATGTTACAAATACACGTACGTGCATATAAAACAAATAGTATGTGTGGTTGTCTTTCGTTCTTTCGAACATTAAAGTAAAATGTAAGAATTTTTTTCACTATAAATATCTTAATGTACATGCGCGAATGTGTAGAAAAACTTAAATTCAATGCATACATTATTATTCTTGAACTGCACATGCAAAGTAGGCTCCTCCATAGTAATAAAAAGATGTTTTTGCATTTATATAGTTATTTGACATGACACATGCAATACGCATGAGTCAACATTTCTTTAAACGTGCCTGCTTTAGCAATAGAACTAAAGAGGGAATTTGTGTTTGTAAAAATAAATGATCGCAGTTTTGCACTTATTTTGAAAAGGAACATTTGCGCATACAAAGTCACTCCCTCAGGTTTTATTTTGAAAGCTGAAAAGCGGAAGTGGTGTGTTGTTTTCATTTCTGACTTGATACAAGCGGCTGAAGAGACTGACCGACTGTCCAACAGGTGAATACACTGCTCAACTTATTTTAACCATCAAACAGAATCATCTTCACAACCTCCACATTTCTAACAAACACAAAGCAGCACATACGAGTTTTTACACAACTTTTCTTTAGATTTGAAACATAACATCACAGTTGACGCTGTCGTTTATGCTGAGGCAACGAGATGTTGGCTTCAACTTTGTTGCTTAGCTAGCCAATGTTGATTTTACACAATTAAAATAGTTTTAGGACAATAAATAACACTAGAAAGATACACCTATGGAGCTATACATGCCGCTATCTGAAAAGCTGGCATGATAATTTATCGTGAAACTTTCCAGCCTTGCAACGTTAACTATTGTAACAGACACGCACATTTGGATGCTCAATGAGGGAATTTGCTCAGAAAAGCAATTTGATCACATTGAAAGAATGTGATATCATTATGCCTCTGATGCAAGTTCAATACAGTAGAAATCATCAGAAAAAAAGTCAGTCAAAAAACTTTCTGAAAATAAATAAATAAAATGCATTAAAAAAAAAATATCCACAGATGCAAAGATGAGCTTTAAACACTTTTATACATTCGGCCCCGGAGAGGCAAGGAAAGTTTATTTGTATAGCACAGTTTATGTTTATGTCAAAATACTTAACGAAAACAACAAAAACATCAAAATAATCACAGTAAACAGAACCGTTTTTAACATTTGGCAGCGTAGAAGCCTTTCTAGAAGACTGTTCAAGATTTTAGTTGCATAAATCTGAGACGCTGCCTCCCCAAGTTTAGCAAAGAAAAGTAGTAATAATGCATTGGTTTCATACAGTGCTTTTTGGACACTAAAAGACACTTCACATAACATCATTCATTCACTCCATACAGGGGGTGATAAACTACATAGTAAATCAGTATGTGCCATCTTCCCCTCCGGCCACCACCATTCAGGCACACACCAGACTCATTCTAAGCAGTGTGGGTCAAGTGTCTTGCCTAAGGACACAACAGCAGTTTGGCACTTTACAGCCGCAGCCTAAAAGGGCAATTATCTCTCCCCTAGAGTACAAAGGATTAATACAGAGGCACATAATATATCATCTCACATTCAGTTATTGAATGATGAGTCAATATAGTAATTCTTGTGACAGTTTTCTCAAATCCATAAATATGTTACAAATAAATTTAGATGGCACGCATAGATACAATGCAGAGAAAACAAATCGTAAACATCCAACCTGTTACTGTCGTCTGCTGCAGAATGGAGGTTTCAAGAAGAAACATTCTGAGGAAACATCTAGAGCCGGCGAGGCCCCTGCGCCGGTGCTTTCATGTCAATATTGGTAACTGTTTCATTGTGTCAATTAATCCTTCTTTTAATAGTTTTAATTCAAGTAAAAGGTAAACTGTTGGACATCCTTTACCTTCGCAGAGCCCATGGAAAATCCTGTCCCATGCACACAATCCATGGAGGCAAAAATGGAGCCGATTAATCAAGAGGTAAAAAAGTTGTTCATTATGATCTCATTGGCTGTCAAATAATTTAGCTTTTAAGTCAAAACAATCACAGTTTCAGACTTAAAACATGTGTTGTGGCTCAAACAGAACTTTAAATACTGGGAGATGATACAGATGTGGGGAAAAAAGATCAAACTACTTATTATTTGGTTCTTGAGTGGCTTTTGTTTTGGTCAAATTGGTAAAACAAAATCTCCATTCAATTAATACAAATTTTACAAATATCTTCAGATGAATTGATTTATAAAGATAATGGGTAAGCAGCCAGATTGGGGAGTATAATGTGATTCTTCATCATGTTTTGCAGCCTTACCTCGCCATCGAACAATTCTATAAGATTCTCAGCCTGAATCAGAAGAAAACTGGTATGTTTTTAACGGACAGATAAATGCAACATGTTCTTTGATCATGTTTGCTTTCATGTTTTCTTGCTACAGCAGACAGGATTGTTTACACCAGGGACTTTTTAATTGCTCTGGCGACTTGTCCCGAGTCCAGGAAGAGACCAGAGTTTTTACCTGCGCACCCCATTGTGTTATCGAATGCGGTAAGTTTCCAGTTTATACACAATATAGTTTGTATTATTTGACTTATTTATGTAATCTGCGTAATGTTCACCAGAGAGACATTGAATTCTTGGATTGACTGTTGGACAAAAGTGAGTGATTTGATTTCCATCTTTGATTGTTTTACGTTTAGACAACTACAGTGAACAAATTTCATTAACTGTTTTTTTTTTTTTTATTTCTTTCAGGATTGGAAAAGACTTCTGCATGAGTCGTGTCTCATATTTCATTTATTGTTGTTGACGTGTGTGCTGTGTGTGCTGTGTGTTTTTCTTTAATATCAACAATGTAAAGCAGGAGTGTCAAACCCGTTTAGTTCGGGGCAGGATTTAAAAAAAATAGCTCTCCGGGGCCGAATGTATAAAAGTGTTTAAAGCTCATCTTTGCATCTGTGGATATTTGTTTAAAACATTTTTTTTTTTACATTCAGAAAGTTTTTTGACAAAGAGATAACTTTTTTCTAACGTTTAATCTAATTTGCTCACTTTCTGGTTTATTTTTCTGAACAAAGTTACTCTATTTTTGGACTGGATCAAAGATTTATATTTTGAAATTGACAATTCATAATTGTCTTGGGGGAACCCTTTAGAATAACATAGTAGTTGGTTGTTTTCTTGTGTAAATAAGCTTTAAAATGAGGTACTACACGTTATGATAGCTCTTATTAATAGTACTATCGATGCTGAAAGTCAATAGTAATAATTAAAATAATTTCAGGGGCCACTTTTGTTTGACCCTACGGTAAACCATACTCCATTTACATAGGAAAGAAAATATGTTTTTGGCGCCTACATCCTACTCATGCACAGGTGAAACTCGGGAGATTATAAAATGGTTAAAAAGTCAGTTTGAGACACATTAAGCCTCATGTGTTATGTTTTTTTCTCGGCTCCCAGCTTTAAAAAAATCCCAAACAAAACATCTCAGACATTGCTAATATTTTTAGAATATTTTGAAAATGTTCTTTAAGCCTTATTTATCAAGATTATAACAAAGGCCTGGCATACTTCACTTTGCTTGTTATAGCTCTGTCATTTCTTTAAAAAAACTATGCACCCCATCTGATATGTTTAGTTTACCATTTATTGCTGTAAAAAATAAAACCTGCTCTTTAATTTAGTCTTTTTAGAGAAATGTGAGAGCTGTTTGTTTAAACTGGCTGAGAGCCTTTTGGCCCAATGGGAGCAGTAGTGCCATAGCAGTGTGCAAAAGTTGGTATTAGTAAAAGTTAGTATTCTACATCCGCAGGGAACTGAGCTGAAGGAGTTATTTTTTTATGTTAAGACTTTGAAAATACAAAACACGCAACACAACAAAGCACATTTATTGTGATCCATACATCATGTATTCTTGAAATAAAACTAAAGATTTTTTTTATTGATTATTATTGAAGTGTATTTTAACAATTATATTGCTTAAGCTTTTTGCACAAACTATTGAGACACTCTGGAATCCAATCATTGACTTTAATTGAATATCTACTGGATTTATTTTTAATGTGTCATAAAATACGATACTTGTTACTGTTAGTAAACTTATGGTGAGTTAGTAAATTAGTAAACAAATTTGTTTTACCCACATTTTTTCTTTTGTTTGGAATGAAATGCAGTAAACAAGTGTTTTTGTTCAAAAACCTGAATTCTTGCATTTGGTTTCCTCTCCTCCGCAGATATGACTTGTGTGTCTATGCAAGTGCGAGTTTGATAATGCTATATACAGTGGAACATCAACATTAGATGGACCTGAGCATAAAGTGGGTCTTAGGAAAGTTGTGTTATTGCACCTTTAAAGCTGGGATACCTAACCTTTTCATAACATATAGTTTGTTTGTCCCAACAAAAAGACTTTAATAAAAAACATTTGAACAAATCAGACCTGAACATGTTGCCTTCATCAATAAGAAAACATGTGTCTTTTGCAGCCCTGAGAATCAATTCATCTTTTGTGTGGCTTGAAAGTTAGGTACCCCACCTTTAACTACCTCTATATGGTTTTAATATTATTATTGATAATTATGTTAGCTTAAAGATAAAGTTGATCAGATGGTTGTATTACTTCCTCTTCTGTGTACTTCCTCCACCGCTGATTCCATGTATTTAAAGCTGGGGTTCCTAACTTTAAGTCCCTGAACAGGAACTATCCTATAAATTCCATAGTTTTCACATACATACTTTTTTTTTTTTTTGCTTCTTGACTCTTTTGGTAAAAGTCCTTGTATAACCTTAACTCCCAACAACAATCCTCTCGGGGGACTTCAGAAAGTTGTTGATTCACCAACATCAGAGAATCAAACATTTCGAATTCAGGAAATGAAATGGGAGTTATTGGTCCATAGCGGGATGACCAATGTTTCTAAATGTTAATAAATGTGCGTAAATGTCCCAGATCATCACTGTCCGCATCTGCATCACCTGCATCGACAAGGAACGACTCAAAACAAAACACAAAAACAGTGGTAAAGAAGTGAGAACCTCAGGACGTGAGAGAGACATCCACTCCCACAGGACTCAGGCTGTAGTTCCAGGACTCAGGCTGTAGTTCCAGGACTCAGGCTGTAGTTCCAGGACTCAGGCTGTAGTTCCAGGACTCAGGCTGTAGTTCCAGGACTCAGGCTGTAGTTCCAGGACTCAGGCTGTAGTTCCAGGACTCAGGCTGTAGTTCCAGGACTCAGGCTGTAGTTCCAGGACTCAGGTTGTAGTTCCAGGACTCAGGTTGTAGTTCCAGGACTCAGGTTGTAGTTCCAGGACTCAGGCTGTAGTTCCAGGACTCAGGCTGTAGTTCCAGGACTCAGGCTGTCATATGCAGCATATTGTGGCCAATTAATTTCCCCAGACTTTCTTTTGGCACAAACAATTGTTATTGTGAGGCGCAGATACAGGGAGTGGGTGGGATCAACGCAGACTCACGTCAGCGCAATGGGAGGTGCTACTTGTTCACTACAGCGAAATTAATTTCTGTATGCGAAAGGAATAGAGGTCATAGTACGCAGGGAAACCTTGTTATTTTATATTTCCCATAGTCAGCCTGGCGTGCTGAGGCTGAGACGCGCCCGTGAAGAGAGTCCTGTCTGTGCCGGCTCCAGGACATTACAGAGACAATATTCACCTGTCCGAAAGGGAGCTATTCCCGGATATCTCCTCTTTTTGTTGTCACTATCGACACTGTGTTTTTGTTTGATTTGATCTCTGTGAGTCCGTTATTATTTTGTGGTGAATTTCGATATTTTCAAGTGGAAGATGAATTCGAGGGACGGACAGCGGACAGCGTCATGCACTACGTAAGGATATCCGGTCACGCATTCAACTGTTTTTATTGTATATTATTTAAATAGTCTTTTTCAATAGCTGTGTGCAATGGCACCGGATAACCCTTCATAAGAAACGAGTCTAATAAAAACACAATGTTCAGGTACAAAGTGAATACGTTCTATCAGTGGACTTAATCCTCTTTCAAAGAAATCACCAAAGAATTTAAACAGTTCATATTACCTCTAATATATACAATTATATTCAATACATTAATGTTATCTTAACATAATGCAGATGCAAACCTGTGTTCTGTATTAACAGAAAATTGTTAGCCTTTTAATGTAATTCAATTGAATCTATTCCCCCATCAGGTTCTGGTAAAGCTGCTCTGTAGAGCAATTTGTCCTCTTTATTTCCTGCAATGCCTCTAGGTTATCCAGTGAGGTGACCCTCTGCCTTTAGATTGTCTCCAGCAGCACCTTTAGGGTCGAATTGACCCTAGGGTTGAACTAATTTGTTGGACAGAACAAATAAGAAATAAGAGCAATCAAATTTATTGCACTTATTTAGCCAAATGTATAACATGATGTACGCTATATTCTGTTCAAGGCAAAGTTCCCAGTTTCCTGTACTTCCTGGTCACATTTAGTAAATCGTTATGTGAGAGGGGAATTTCCACTGTTTCCACATACATAATGACATCACATTTTGTTTTTATGACTTGGCAAAAATGTGTTTACATGTTTCAAAATGAACTTCTTTGCTCTGTAAAAACAGATCTCCAATGGGAAATGGTTGGATACCACTGTTTTTTATACCACTTTTTTTCTTAGCTGCTGAAATTGCCTAATCGACTTTTCCAATCCAATATATAGATCTTTTAAAGCATTCGCACAAACCAAACCGTTTTTCCATCATGTACTTATTATTCACACACCGATGCAATCAAATCTGTCATTTTGTAATCCAACAATAAAACGATATGAACTCTGTGACAGGTGCTTTACAATGGTATTGTGTCCTGGGATGAAAGCCTTTATTGTTAAAGCATGTAACTCTATTCCCACAGGCCAATACTGGTCCACAACCCCCACCTGGACGGACTCAAAGACGACGTCCTCTATCACTTCAGTCTGGGAACAGAAACACATGACCTCCCTGCAATGTTTGGTGATGTTAAAGTGAGGTTTATACATTGGATTATTATATATTATTATCATTACTAATATTATTATCATCATCATTAATATTATTATTAGTACTAGTGTTGTTGTATGATATTATTATTAGCGGCAGTAGTAGTAGGAGAAGATCTCCAGGCCAAGTCCTGCAGCACTGGGCCCTCTCCCCCCGCGGGCCGCTCCCCTCCCTTTGGGCCACATGTCCAGGAGCCTGCACCTGTGTGAATGCACCTGCACATGAAAGTGTTACACTTGTGGTCAGATAAATAAGAACTGAGAGTGTTTAGAATTGTCCTTGTTTTTAATTGGCTTTTTGCACTGTAGCACAAGAGAAAGGACATCACCACGCATCCTTGTCTGAGCACACTTTTCAATGAGGACCTCCCAAGCCCCCCAAGTTGCCTCTACCTGCCATGGGTCATCTGAGTTTCTCCTGTCTAAAATATGCAAATTGTTTTAAAGTTTTAGAATTAAAATATGAGGTGGGTGCTTATATTCTGTTAGTATTGTTATACATGCCAATTATCATGGGTCCCATAACAGCAAAGTGGGATTCTCTTGCAAAAAAATTAGACCAGCGTGATCCGCGAGGCATAGCTTTTTTTCCTCATTCCATAATTAATCCATACATCCATTTTCTACCCCTTAATCCATTTCTGGGTCGGGGGGTGGCCAGAAATGCCACCCAGTACACATAGCACCAGCCCCTCTGATCCTCCTGCAGGTGGTGAGTCCACAGGACGGCCGCTCTATGGCATAGCCTTGGTCTTTCAGCGGGGGCTTCAGGCAAAGTGGGGTTGAGTGTCTTGCCTAAGGACAGAACCACAGCAGTCATCAGTGGGAGTCGGTGGAGAGGGTCTCGTGGTGAGGACCCTCAACCTTCAGGCTCAAAGGCCAATGCCCTACCAACTGAGCCACTGTCACCCCATTCTACTCACTCTCAAATTCTGGGTCGGGATGAAAAAAAAAAGGATAAAAGAAGTGGTTGTAGTAGTGGTGTTTTTATTATATACACCAGTGTCTCCCAAAGTGGGGTCCGCGGCCCCCTGGTGGGCCGCGAGGGTACTGCAGGGGGGCCGCGGGTGGTCATAAAAAAATAAAAAAATAATAATTATTTAATGTTATAATTATTTAATAATGTTTTGTTTGTAATATTAAAATATTTGTGTTCATTATTTGACTTGAATAATCCACTGTAATCATTTTTGTATTACAATGTTTGTAGCAGAGGCTATTTCCCCAAAATAAAATAACCAGAAGAGCCTATTCTTAATGCTGTCTTCTTGGTTATTATTTTGGGGGGCCACGCAGACCCGTCAGACTTTTAAGGGGGCCTCGGTGTTACTGAGTTTGGGAATGGCTGATATACACCAACGTCTTGTGTGTTTCAGTTTGTTTGTGTCGGCGGTAGTCCATGGAGAATGAAATCGTTCATTGAATACATTGCTAGTATACTTGGAATGGAGGACCCCAAAGCAGAATATCCAAACATCTGTGCTGGAACCGACCGCTACGCTATGTACAAGATTGGACCTGTGCTTTCTGTTAGTGTAAGTAAAAAAGTGTATTATCTTTGGTAGTTTTTGTGTGCAAAACAAAGCTAAAAGTGAAAGTATCCAATTTAAATCTCTACTGTGTACAACTGTTACTGTTGTACTAAGTAACCTTCCACCACTGTTTTTCATTATAAGCATATCAAAAGGTAACCACTTTATTTTGCAGCATGGGATGGGGATTCCTTCCATCGCCATAATGTTACATGAGTTAATAAAGTTGCTGCACCACGCACACTGTACCGATGTCACCATTTTCCGCATCGGGACCTCTGGGGGAATAGGTACAAACATTTAGACGCACATTCCAAACATAAATTACTTAACCATGTTTATTTAACGTTGAAGGGCTGGAACCTGGCACTGTCGTCGTCACCAAACAGTCAGTGGATGCAAACTTCCTGCCTAAGTTTGAGCAGGTGATTCTGGGTAAAACTGTGATGCGGAACACAGACCTGGACTCAGGCCTGGCCCAGGAGCTGATGGACTGTAGTCAGGAGCTCGGCCAGTTCCACACGCACTCGGGGAACACCATGTGCACCATGGACTTCTACGAGGGTAGGTCCAGATACTAATGACTCATTTCTTGTAAATGTCTTCATTGTGAGATCAATAAAGTGTATCTTATTATATAACTTAGCAGTACTAATTCTATTTACTCTTTCACTCCATTCATGCAGCTTATACATACACAGTTTTTAAGATTAAGAGATCCTTTATTCATCCTACAGTGTGGAAAATCCAGTGTTGCATCACAAATTACAGACAGTAGGAAAGAGGAGCACACAGCACAGGATAAAGGAATAATAACTAAAATAAAATAAAATATAATCTCTAACTCTAGCATGAATAGAAGCTGTAAAAAATCTGTATCTAATCTAATCAGTTGTGGCCATCTCTGTAAATATGACTCTGAACCTTGACCATGATTTATTAGCTGTATGCTAATTTAAAGGTAACATTTTAGAATTATTATTATTTTTTTTTAAATGCTCATCTGTATACTTGTCTTGGAATATGTGTGTAATTACAAGCCTCAGACAATGTCCTCTCTTCACAAAGCATGATAGGTTCAATTGTGCTACTAACTGTGGCCAAAACTTCCGCTGGTCCTCTGGGTGCAGTGTGTTGGCGTCTCAGACGTGTGTCTCTCACCATCAAAATAAAGTGAAATACCGTGTTCCACAATCATTTATTGTATCCAAGTACACAAATATTACACCATAAAATGAGGCAACAAACGACGGTCGAAGTTTACCTCTACGCTACAACCCTTGTCTGTCATTAGTGCCCAATAGATCCATGTTAGTGCCCCAGTTAAATAGGGCATACAATCGAGGTGGCGCCACACAGTGGCAGGAGGCAGCAAAAGAAAACTTCGCAAAAGGGCTCCAATGAAATGTATAAGTAATTCTCTAAAAAACTACTTAGCTATTTTTGTTTCATGTATAGTTTGTTTTCAGTACTCCTGTTATTCATATGTCCCTTTCCTATTTTCACTAAAGACTAAAACCACTGTCCACCTTTAAAAAGATGACAAAGTCCTGGTTTGTTAAGTGGCAGCACGAGTTCATTTACAGATGCTAAAATTCTGTAATTTAAAGATTTAAAGAAGATATTTGCTTTGTCCAGGTCAAGCACGCCTGGATGGTGCTTTCTGCTCTTACACGGAGGAAGACAAACAAGAGTATCTTCGAAACGCTCAAAATGCAGGAGTTTGCAACATTGAAATGGAGTCGTCGGTCTTTGCTGCTATGTGCAAGATGAGCGGCCTTCGTGGTGAGAAATGTTTAATGTTATAATATGAAGTTGTGGACCGGAGACTTTACCAGACTGTTGTGATAAAGAGCAACGTCTACAGTCAAAGCTCTGTAATTACCACTCTCACCTTTGGTCATGAGCGTTGGTGGACTTGCACAAAAGACAAGATCTTTTATTATGCCAAATTCTTCTCTTCTCTATTTTTGACTTGTTTGCACTGAGAGCCAAAGCAATATCCTAGTTTGTGACTTTCTGTTACTTACATGGCAATAAAAATGATTCTGATTCTGACACGGGAGGAGGTCGGAGTAGAGTTCTGTGGTCATCACCGTGTGTGGAATGATTGGAACAATATCTGAACTCTGAACATTGTGAAGCGCTTTGGTGGACCTTGGTCTGTAAAATGCTCCATATAAATAAACATTACTTACTTACTTACTTGCTGCTCCTCCTGGATGCCTCCTGTAGGTTTTCTGGGTCTGGGTGCACTAGGTGTGGGTTCGAGGTCTTTCCCAGAGACCTAGGACACGTTGGAGAGACTCTCGGGATGCCCCTGGATGGAGAAAGTGTAGATTGGGAAGGAACTCTTAACAAAAATAGATAATTCTAATACTTAACACTACAGGGTAGAAGTCAGGGGCTCTTCGAAGATTCGTGGGAAGATAATGTAGAAAGCAGAGAGGAAAGGTCTAGCGTGGTTTCGAGTGGTCGAAAGGCGATGCTATGTCCCTTCCACAATAAAGTATTTTTAAGTTAAGTCCTCGAGCTTTTCCTCTCTGCTTTCTACTTCGATGTTTGTGTTTAAATGTTTTAAATCCTTGCTTTGTGCAGCGGCCGTGGTGTGTGTGACGTTACTCGACCGTCTTAAAGGAGACCAGCTGACCGGCACTCACGACGTCCTCAACACTTATCAACAGAGACCTCAGATCCTGGTGGGACACTACATCAGGAAGCACCTCACTCGCAACAAATGACCTCATCCTCCTACTGCATGCGTGAAGAGAGCGTAGAATTAGATATTTTATTTTTAAGTAATTTATTCATCTGCCTTAAACTTTCACATTGTTCAGCATAATTCTCTTAAATGTTGTTGATGCATAAAGAAAGGTTTTTAATATATTTTAAGATAGATTATTTATTTGCAAAGCCTGATGTAATTAAATAACAGTTTATAGATATCTATTGCACAGTAACCAAAAATAAAGTATTGTTTTATAAGTCTATTTTAGGAACAATAAGCATTATGTTTCTTTCACATTGACTTTCCAAAAGGTTAGGTCATAGTAAAAATTGTATTCAAATAATGGACAATATGCCAATGCATGTATATGACTGTATGGTGACAATCCAGGTCTGACATTTGTCTAATACATAAATATGACTGAAAATAAACAAGTTATATATCTTGTATATGTTCTGATGTCTGAAATGATTCAATTTTGTAGAATCCGAAGAATGTTGGCTACTTCCTTCTAATATGTAATCACTGGTATTTGCATGTCGTCATCATTGGTAATAAAAATGCTTTGACGCTATATAGTTATAGTTTGATAATATACAGGCTGATTTTCATAATATTATTGTGTAAGATTTATCACAAGATTAAAACGCCCATTTGCAGCACTTCATGATCGTTGAATAGATATGGGTAAGACCGTGTTCATAAAACCTATTGGCCTTATGCATGATTAAATACCGCAATGTAGTAGTAGTAGTAGTAGTATAGTGATAGTAGTAGTGTATAGGTTGCGTTCATCTGACATCACAACATTCCAAAGTATAGTGTAGGGCAGCTGAAAAATCTTTCTTGGTAACTATGATATGAAGTGCTAAAAGTCAGTTTAGTGCACATTTCTCTCTAATTCCTGGCTCCATACATATGAAAGAAAAACTGTATATTTCAACAATGATCTAACTATTTTCCCATAAGGTTGTCTAGAAGTGATGACAATATAAAAAAAGAAACATGCTTGATGCTGGCCAGTATAAAAGACTCACATATCTGAATAATATGGCAGGTTTGTGATATAATCAATATCAAATTCAAAATTGTTTTTTTTTGAGTAGCCCTAACTCGACAGCAGGCTTTTGGAGGACATTAAAATATATATTTATCAATTCGGCAACAACAGAAGAGAGAATCAAACAGATGGAACACATGAAATTCAATAAGGCCAACACAGGGTAGCAGGATGACCATTGACTGTAAATGTTTATATGAATCAAATAATGATCTGGGATTTTTTTGAGCAGTTTTCACTTTAACACATTCACATTATTCTATTACAGGAGCACAAAAATAAATAAATACAAATGTGGACATTTACTTAACATACAGCACCTATTCCAAATACAGTTCCTAGTAACTGCAGTCCGATATCTTGTAGGCTATACAGTAAACACAGTCAGGCCGTAGACTAAAGAGGTCTTCTGGCCATTGCTTCTCATGAGTCAGAATTGACGCCATCACGCCTCCACGGTGACCGACCCTGCACTAACGTTGCTCATTTATTGAACGATTAAACTATGAAACCTTCCCAGAAATAATCTCACTATGATGAGGATGGTGATGTTTAGGAGGAAGGGGAGGAGGAAGAGGAGGAGGAGGATAGCACTGGTCCACTGCTTGTCGCACGCAGCAGAACGGAGCCTGCGCGTCAGAGGAGTGTCCGTGCGTCCTGCCCCTCCATCCCATCTGGACTCGCCGTGTTCGCTGACTCAGTGCCTTAAGCAACATCCCCGCTCACCTGAACACAGCTCCACAATCCTCCGCGGTGAAACAAGACATCCAGCATGGCTAAAACAGCGGCAGGTGAGGCTCTCATCCAAAAAGAAACCCTTGTCCATCCCTCTGCATGCGTGGGCGTATGTAGCAGCGTGCACGAACATGGATATTTTTCCATTTTCTCCCGGCCTGCAATGAGGCATTAGCTTTTATACAAACCAATTTCTTAATCCAACGCATGTGCAGTTTTAACAATCCCTCATTCCAAAATCAAATTGAATGAATTGCTTGCGCGTCTTGCTATAATGCGTACTTTATAATTAGCCAGTGTTGCAACCCATGTGCTCGCTTATGAGGCTTTCTTCATCAGATTCTGCGTCTTTCCAGCTCATTTAAAAACAGTCTACTGCCGCATTTTCTTTCTTTATAATATTGTATTCGTGTGCGTTGTGGTTCATGGTGAGGTTGCTGTATTTACACCTGCAGTTAACGCCGTCTCTCACAAGCATAATGCAGACGGACCCCACCCATAGACGCGAGGATGCGAGCTCTCATCCCCAGCAAGGGGCGTTTTTTCTTTTCTTTTTTTTTTTTAACCAGACATCCTTTCATCCAAACTATAGTGATATAGCCTATACACGTTGATGAAAAAGCAAGAATATGTTTTTAAATAAATGGCATAAATTTGTTTGCTGCAGACAATCCCTATGATTTACAGCATGCATAGGCCTTGGGATGAGCCTTGGATCAGTTTGCAATCCAATCTCATGTGGAAAGAATGGGAATGGGCTGTAAATATATTTATATGATAACCTCTTTGTTATGAATGTAAATGTTATTAGTGTGTGTAAGCCAAATTAAACAGGATGGGTATATGAGCAAGCAGAAGGCAATATTCTGCAATTCTCTCTGCAACACTGGTGCTGAGGATTCAAAATATTTATAGCCGTGTTCATAGAAGCGATCTTGAAAATATATGCAGCGTTTGGGTTTGTTTTATTGCTATGGAAATGACATGAAAAATATAAGAAATGAGCAAAACTTTGACCAACTTTGTAAAATCACTTGTTAGAAATGTGTGTCTGAAAACCCTATAGTCCAGCTCAGACATCCATGCGTGGTGAAATCTGCTCGGCATATTAATTATTCAACGACCCTGTATACGTTTCCTTCTGTTCCTTAAGAATATTGACGTGTGACTAATGGTAATTGGTTTATTGACTCCCATTTCCTCGACTTAAACGCTGGGATTATCCTGAGGGTTGTATTCTTCTGTGATGATTGTGTCAAAGTGTGCGAGTTTGTAAATGCATTGTATGATTTCTGTTGCAGCGTACAAAGAGAAGATGAAGGAGTTGTCCGTCTTCTCCCTCATTTGCTCCTGTTTCTACCCCGAGACTCGCAAAAACATCATGTGCGAGTTTGAAGGTAATTCCTGAGTTTGCAAAAGTACTCGTCTCAGGTACTCTACATCAGGAGTCCCGGAATTCTGAAGCTACTACTCCCAGAGCAGTCTTTTTGATGGCTCCTATTCAAAGTCTGGAAAAAAAGAAGTTTTAATGTTTTAAATGCTTAACTAAGTAATTCTTCCCTTTTTATCTTTAGCACATGCTAAAACTGGTGAATATAAATCAAATTCAGCAATACAGCTGATAAAAATTATGTAAACAGTGTGTTGCTATAGTAACTAGCACTTGCTCCAAGCTGAGATTGCTCTGAACCAGTCTAGGACCAGCCGAGAACCAGTCTAGGACCAGTCAAGGACCAGTCTAGGATCAGTCTAGGACCAGCCGAGGACCAGTCTAGGATCAGTCTTGGACCAGTCTAGTACCAGTTTAGGACCAGTCTAGGATCTGTCTAGGACCAATCTAGGACCCGTTTTGGACCAGTCTAGGACCAGTCTAGGACCAGTCTAGGATCAGTCAAGGACCAGTCTAGGACCAGTCTAAGATCAGTCAAGGGCCAGTCTAGGACCAGTCTAGGACCAGTCTAGGATCAGTCTAGGACCAATCTAGAACCCGTTTTGGACCAGTCTAGGACCAGTCTAGGACCAGTCTAGGACCAGTCTAGGACCAGTCTAGGATCAGTCTAGGACCAGTCTAGTACCAGTTTAGGACCAGTCTAGCACCAGTTTAGGACCAGTCTAGGACCAGTCTAGGATCAGTCTAGGACCAGTCTAGGATCGAGATGATTTTACAAACATAATTACATTGATATAAACTACATATACAGAAAGATACACAATGTTTTGAAGACCAAAAACATACTGGTTACTGATGCAATCCACCTGCTGGAATTTAGCTTGAAGTGGTAAAATTTCAGTGTATTCAGTATGACAATTTATCTTCTTATCTTTCATTAAAACATGGGTCCGGTGCTATCTTTCTGTTTGTGAATTGTGTTAAATAAAAAAGATGGAGTCAAGACCAAATGCATTTCACTACTGCCCAAATAAGAAACAGATTTTTCACAAACATAAACTGACAATAAAGGCTTTAGGCTTTACACTTATTTCACCAAACTCTATCTACAAACTTTACAGCTGCCATTTGTTTACACTCTGGTTTGTTTACATCAAACCATAGTTCAACTGCACAACCACAATCAAACATTAGAAATCCCTTCACAAAGTCCTGCCAGATCTTTCACAATTTTCAAAAACCCTACATTAAACAACCAATAGTACTGTAGGTTATCGCTGCCTTCTAATGCTGCTCCATAATAACATCATACCATGTTTATACTTATATATTAACACATTTACACAGATAATCGGTTTGAATATCAGAAGCATAAATATCATAAACATCCATTACATTTTTGATTAAGAAGAACTCCACTTTAAAAAAATTTGCAGAAAAGGTCAAATGTGATTTCTCTTTTAACTGGGGACACATATAAAAGATGAAGATGTAATTTAAAATGAAAATATACTGACCTTTTAAGTTAAAGATAGTATAGAGCAGGTATGTCCAAACTCTTTATGTGGCACGTCTGCTGCTAACACAAAGTCACCATTGAAGCACTTTGACGGTGTCATCCAACCAACTTCAGCTCCACCAGTACAGTCACGCTATACCTTGTTGTAAATCTCAGACCCTCTGGAATCCAGTCGTTGACTTTATTGTCACAACATTCCAAATAAAATGCAGCTGTGGAGTGAATCAATAAAGACGTATCATAACCCATTTTTAATTCCAGAATCCAATCCATCCAGCTCGAATCCAGTTTTTAAAATCCAGGTTGTCTGCCCCAGGTCAAGTCTGATGAACTTAAGTTTGGACACCCCTGGTATAGAGTAAAGTATAGATACTGGTTCAGAAATCCACGAAATATAAGAATATTTATAATAAAGTATGAAAGTACTAGTGTTTGTACGTCATAAATGAAATGCTTTTTTGTTGAATAATTGACATACAATTATATTTATTCAAGACATTTTAACATTACCATTGAAACACTTTTATAACAATATACTGTTTTATACAGATGAAACTCAGAAATGTGGAATATTTCTGTATTTCTACTTACAATGTGAAACCAGTATATGATATAGACTCATTGCATCCACAATTACATATTCTCAGCCTGTTATCATTTTGATGATTCCATCCATCCATCCATTTTCTTCCCCTTAATCCATTTCTGGGTCAGGGGGGTGGCAGTCAAAGCTGCACCCAGTTCACTTAGCACCAGCCCCTCACTGATCCTCCTGCAGCTGGTGAGTCCACAGGAGCTGAGATCTTTCAGTGGGAGCTTCAGGCAAAGTGGGGTTAAGTGTCTTGCCCAAGGACACAACGACAGCAGTCATCAGTGGGAGCCGTGAAGTAGGTCTTATGGTGGGCTTGAACCCACGACCTTCAGGCCCAAAGGCCAATGCTCTACCAACTGAGCTACTGTCGCCCCATTTTGATGATTAATTAATTCATAATGTATTAATGCATTTTGTTGATGTTGATGTAATTCCCAGACATGGAGGTGAAGCCCATAGACAAGCGAGCGTCTGGCCAAGCCTTCGAGGTGATTCTGAAGCCTGTCTCCCCCGTGTCTGAGGTGTCCCCTGGCCTCCCCTCTCCCCCCAAGAGGGACATCTCTCTGGAGGACATCGAGAAAAAACTGGAAGCTGCGGAAGAGCGAAGGAAGGTGAGAGGCTCCAAACAGCTGCAAACGTGGCAGGAAGGTGTGGAGCAAATGTGGGGAAAGTTAGGGGAAAAAAGGAAAGATTTAATTATGTGGCACTTTTCTTATGTTTATGCAGCTTAAAGCGGGAGCATCTGAATTTCAAACCACAAAAAGAAGAAAATCCATGTTCTGTAACTGTAGCACTGTTTGGTCCATCACTAGTTTTCACATGCATGCTTTTTGGCCTCTATCACATCTTTTGGGTTAGGGTCAGATTCTTCAGGCAAAAAATTGAAAAAGAGGGAACCGCCCTCACGCAGCCAATCAGCTCTCAGCCCTAAGCGTCAAATAGTGACTTTGAATTGTTCACAACATTTAACTTTTAAAAGACTATTTTATCCTAGCCATAGTACAAATTACATTTCGTACTAAGGGGTTAACTCCTTTTGCAGATTAAAACCATTGGATCTGAGTTTACTGTGACGTATGCAGTGTGCCCAAGTGAGTCATTAGCATTTAGCATTTAGCCTAGCCATCTCGTTTGCCGCTAACGGAGCCCGTGGGGAGTAGCGCCACAATCTTTGCCAGCAATTACATTTGCAAAACATTTCTCTTGCTCCGGCTTCAATTTCTTGATAGAACCAGACCAGATTACTTAACTATCACATTTTTCGCCATTGCCAAACTACAACCCTCCTGTTCGACGCAAACTCTTGACGTCACTCACAAGTAACTACAACACTCTCCTTCTGCGCTCTCTGATTGGTCGGATGGAATACGACCGATTGTAATCGCTAACACAGGGACCAGACGCAGACGTTACATGCAGTGAAATGATCATTGAGCGGAGCGTATAGATGGCTAAGGCCAGGCTAATTTTATCCCAATGTTTACTTGACATGTGTTTAAGTGGTAAATAGTTGCATACCCCAGCTTTAATGTGCAACAGAACAAATCACAATACATTTAGCCCAAAGAGGCTAAACCACATTATTCTTGACCAAATGTGTCAAACTAAAGGCAACAGGACAATTTTTTTGGCTGTTGAACCGATTCTAAATGATTTTTATTAACTTGCAGCAATGATGATAATATGTTTACATGGTGAGCATGGCTTATTATACCTCATTTTATGGCCAATGTTCTCAAGAAAACCACCATGTAATTAAAAAAATAAATACAATTATTACTCCAAAACGTTGTAAAGCTGTGTTCGATCTTTGCCTGGGAAATGCACTATATTCCACTATAAAATGCACTATAAAATTCCATTTACACGGAGCATAGTGGGAAAAAGCAGCTTCTCCTATTTTTTGTTTTACACAAGCTCAAGGTCCAAACAACAAAACAGACAGACACATCAACATTCAACAAGAACAACAAACGAACAAAAAAGTATACAAATATATAGCAATAATAATAACAACAACAGACAAACATACACAATTAGACAAAGGTCAAAATTAAACTATAAACAAACTCAGATTAGCAGATGCTAAATTTAGACTCCAAGGGTGTGTGTAGGTGTGTGTGGGTCTGTGCGGGTGTGTGTGGGTGCTGTGGGTGTGGGTGTGTGTAGGTGCTGTGGGTGTGTGTGGGTGCTGTGGGTGTGGGTGTGTGTAGGTGCTGTGGGTGTGGGTGTGTGTAGGTGCTGTGGGTGCTGTGGGTGTGGGTGTGTGTGGGTGCTGTGGGTGTGGGTGTGTGTAGGTGCTGTGGGTGCTGTGGGTGTGGGTGTGTGTGGGTCTGTGCGGGTGCGTGTGTGTGTGTGTGGGTGCTGTGGGTGTGTGTGTGTGTGTGGGTGCTATGGGTGTGTGTGTGTGAGGGTGCTGTGGGTGCGTGTGTGTGTGTGTGTGTGGGTGTGTGTGGGTGCGTGTGGGTGTGGGTGCATGCGTGTGGGTGCGTGTGGGTGTGTGTGGGTGCTGTGGGTGCTGTGGGGTGTGGAGTATGCAGCATATTTGTTGAACTTCATGATGATGATCCAATTTTTTTTTCAATTTTCTAGTCTGAGCTACTTCTAAGTGAGACCTTCCCTCCACTATTGCTAGTGCTTTTATTATGTTTTTATTATATATACAATTTAAGTTTTCTTTATTTACTCATGTTCCACTTGCAATAGTTCCAATGTTTTCTATGCAGGCTGACCCAAGGTGTTTAAGACATCCTTTTATAGCATGCAATCTCTAGCTTTAGCATTATAAAGAATGTTTTGTTTCTCTGATGAAGGCGCCACCGAAACATGTCAGGGAATTAAGCAGTACTAGCTTTTCTTGCTATAAGAAGACAAAATGAACTTTCTACATTTAAGAAAAATTTTTTTCCCAAATGATAAGAACAAAATTACCCGCTTCAATTGGAAGTGTTTTATGGTCACAGGGGAGTTCAGTGCTGTAGAATGGGCTGTGATATTTCCGTATCTCATAACTTATCCGTGGTCAGAGCCAGAAGTCTCCATTATACACGAAAGCCCAGCCCTGCACTGCGGTGGCCCACTGACATTGAAGGATGGGTCAAATACTAAAAATAGATAATTCCACAAGGACAATGTTTTCAGCCATCTGCACCTTAATAGAACTCATCACTTAGTTTTAGTTACAGTATATTTTTAACAGGGTGCGTTTTATGAATTTTTTGGATCTTGGCCAAAACCAAAGACTTTAAAATTAATCTTTATGTTGTAACTTGTTGGCAGAGAAAACGCAAAACAATAAACTCAAATCACACATTATGGGATTGCTTTAGCTGTTGTTTTTGAGAAGATATTTGTCCTTTGTCTATATTTCACTTTCACTGCATTTTGGGAGGATACTGGAAAGTCCGGACCGCTAATTTTACAATATTTTCCAAAGAAATAAGACAATATACTTTTTACACTGTATATACTGATGTTGTACTGTTCTATGTATATTTATAATATGGTGTATAAATATTTGGTCTTCAGACTACCACTGTATTAAAACAAAATTATCCACAGGAATTTATGGGTCTAGAATAAGACTTTCTTGTGATTTTCTGATAAAGAAAAACAAATAATTTCCCATTTTTCCATTGTTAAATCTATGTTTTACTTTCAAAACATGCAGTAACATAAACAATACTTTTTAGAAGAACTTATTTTTTTCACAATCTTTGCACAGTAGTGAATGCACCGATCTTCTTCTTCTTGAAACCTTTCGCATTCAGTCGTCAGTCGTCTCGGGTCATTGAAAAGTCGATTGTCCAACAGCACATGCGTAAATCAAACAATTAGGAATACATAAACACAAAAATGAAACACAATGGTCTGTAGGATAACAGGTTAAACAAACTCATTTTAGTTGGCCATGATATGAATTTGAAGCTATTTTTTTTTTCAACATAACCACATTCTGAATATTGATCCCAAATATGAAAATTGTCATTTTTTTGTAATTATTTGTTATCTTGTTCTGTGTTTTTTCTAATTGATTTGATGCCCTTTTCAAAACTGCACTAGATTTGCCATAACAAGACTTCTTTACCTTGCTCTGGTTTTGGTTGAATAAAGGAAAAAAATGATTCAAATTCTAACATTTTTTTTCCAATTCAAACCATAGTATAAAAGGTATAGCTTAAAACAGTTTTTAAAAAGGGATTTTGACTCCATTACATTAGAACCTCTTGTATCTGCAAGAAAAAGCCCAAAACCCAGCGGAAGATAAACCTCTGTGAGAAGCCACTGTTATGTGGTGGAAAGGAGGAGGGACCCAACATTCAATACTGCAAAAAAATTATTTAATAACCAAGGATCCAAAAATCAAAACCCTACAAACACAGGAACTGAAGGCGAACCAAGAACAAACATTCAATGGACTGATAACAAGAGGGAAAGAGCACAGGGAATTTAACTGAGAGACACAGGTGAAACAAATCCGGGCGGGGCAGGCAATCAACAGGACAGGAAGTAAAACTTCAAAAGACACAGGGGAACAGAATTACAAAATAAAACAGGAACCAAAAGTGACAACCATGACAGCCACAGTGAGAGGGTCCACTCCCAGGCTGAATATGCAGGACTGAGAAATTCTTTGACTCTCCCATCACGTCCTCATCATTTCCAGAGTGTTTTATCCTCACATATCTCTGTGTGTGTGGTCCAGTCACAGGAGGCCCATGTGCTGAGGGCCCTGGCGGAGAAGAGGGAGCACGAGCGCGACGTGCTCCTGAAGGCCATGGAGGAGAACAGTAACTTCAGCCGCATGGCCGAGGAGAAGCTGATGATCAAGATGGACCAGATCAGGGAGAACAGGGAGGCTCAGATGGCCGCCATGATGGAGCGCCTGCAGGAGAAGGTGAGGAGATTGTACATGACAAAAAATGTTTACACACACATGTTAGATATTATTATATGATAATATAATAATATTATCATATATTTCATATATTATCATACATCATTATTATATGATACAAATTCATAACATTAAATGACTATTCAGAATGATGCAATTAACAGCAGCAACAACAGAAATACAAAATAACAAGAATGGCATTATGTGTGTGAGTGTTTGCATGAGTCTAGGTGTATTTGTCTTGTGTGGTTATTATTTGGACCCCAAAAATAAAACAAATTATATATGAAGGGGAAAGAGGAGTAGAAAGAGATTTGTTAATTATAGTTATGACAATATTTAGAGAAAAAGAAGAAAAGACAAACAACCAGACAATAATATTTGATTGACAAAGTTGCCAATCAATTTAAGAATTTAGATTTGTATTTATTAATTTTCATTCTGCCCCCTATACCCATGGTACCCTCTATGGCCCTATGCTTCACTATTATTATATACACAAGTACCTGCTGCATGTATATAGTATGTACACAATGTAGGAGAAGGTAAGGAGAGGAGAGGACACAATAACAAACAACAAGGACACACACACATGTTAGTGCAGGTAAAGTATATGGTATTTACACACACAAGCCTTTTCTTTGTATATATTTTTTTTAATGATAACTTGCATGTTTAATTTTAAGAAACAATAAATAAAAGTAGTAGTGATGTTTTTTTAAATACATGATTTCAAAAATTCATCACTACTACTTGGAAAGCTTTCTTTCCAAATTCAATTTTTGCATAAATAGTTACTATGGCAGAGGGGTCAGAAAGAAGGTCCTGGGTTCAAATCCCAGTCAGAACAATGGAGTTTGCATGTTCTCTTCGTGTCTACGTAGATTACCCCTGCCACTTGGGGCCATCTCTGACTCTAGAGATGGTGCTGCACAGTACTGACCACTGCTCGATAAAGTACAAGAAAAATAAAGCATACTTTAATCATAATAAACATGTCAGATCCTCTTAAATGATTGAGGGCCGCCTCTCTTCCGTCAGTCTGACCCACGGCAGACATGTTTAGAGTAGTCCTCAATGATACGATATACAGAATCAAGAAAAGCACATATTTCATTCCTCATATATCGATATATTGATATTGAAGCATTTACACTGTGGGACGAATAAAGAATCTTTTATATTCTATTAAGAATTTATTAATATTAAGAAATTCTTTATTCGTCCCAAAGTGTGTTAAACTCTATTCTAAATAAGTCGATACTAAACTTGACTAAACAATATAACATGCAATAACATTTCTAGCTTTAGCATAAGGGGTCTGTAATCTTTTGCACATTCTGTCATTGGTTCAAGACATTGCACAGATATGTGAGGTCGACAGTGTTAGTTAGTCCTCATTGTTCGTTATACAATCTGACAGCAGCATGAAGGAAAGAGCTGCGGAACCTCTCCTTCCCACAGCGAGGGTGAATAAGTCTGTCACTGAAGCTACTCTCCAGAGCAGACAGAGGGTCCTGCAGGAGTGACAGTCATGGTCCAGCATAGATGTCAGTTTATTCTTATTCCTCTGATTATTACCGTAATATTGTTGTTGTTTTTGCAGGAGAGGCACGCTGCTGAGGTGCGTAGAAACAAAGAGATCCGAGAGGAGCTGACAGCATGAGCCACTTCCTCTGTGACATCACCTCCACACAACATCACTAGTACAGACACTCCCAGTATCATCATTTATGGAAACAACAACCGTAACAATAGATTCAACCGATTAGAGTAGAGAGTATTATTATTGAGTATTTATCTGGATTTATTTATATCTGAGTGAAGTGCATTAAATGTACAACACTGTATTTTTTACTTTGTGGATATATGTATTTATTGAATTGGAAAGCCTGGGATGGCTTCAGACCGATTGTGTTACGCCGCCATTATTTTGATATAACGGTGAGTTTGTGTCTTTTGTGAAGAACGGTGATTCGTTCATGTTCCCCTAGACTTACAGAGAACCGTGAAAGCCACACACACACACACACACACACACTCACACTCACACACAAAGACACACATACACACAAACACATGCACGCACACACACACTCAAAAAACGTAGATTGACCTTGAGGTGCTTTACTCAAATAGAGAATGTTTATGCCCAACAGGAGCAGCTCTTTCTACACCTGTTTTTTCACCGTTCCCTTGTCATTTTTGCGAAATATTTTGTAAAATAGGCAACACACGATATACGAAAGCTCATCGATGGATTGTAATGTCACACAAACGTACTCTGAATAGTGTCTTGACTTGGACAATGGAATGTGTTTTTTTTGTTTTGCGCCACTCATGGTATCAGTAGAAAATATTATTAGCGTGTCGGTTTGGCTTTCAGAATGTGACTTATCCATTGCGCACATGTGTCTGTAATATTGTTTTTTCCCCTATATTCACTGTATGAAGTATGAACACACTGCTCAAAGCTTTGATGATAAAAAGCCATGGGTTATGTACATCTGGCATGCAAATGTTGGCTTATTTTTGTGCTCAAGGGAAACTGTAACAGCTAATAAAATAAAATGACGAGTTATATAACATATTGACCATTAAGGTTTCTTGATTTTAATTTTTGAGTTAAAACTACTCGATTTGTCCAGCAGGTGGCCCTGTTTGTCTGACTAAAACATATGGATTTGTTTTCAGTTTTTGTTTTGCTTTGAAAACACACACATATTGTCATTTATATGTAAAGCACTGGATTCAAAATAAATACATTGAAACAGACATATTGCCACAATGGGTTGTTGTCTTTTACGTTTCAGTGCAGTGTCCCCATCCTGTTCACACTATTGTCTGCGTTTGAGAACAGCCCAATCTGGTGAGGTCAGGCCAACATTGTAAAGGATTTCCTCTAGCCCTTAATGATTTCCTGGGTATTCAAAAGGGCAACAATGCCGTCTGATTGAGTTACCTACCTGGCACACAGGCAGCGGGTGGCATTTGAGATCATAAATCGTACATTTTGACAGGTTCTTATTACCCTTTGTTCTGCCAGCATGTGAATATTAAGTCAGACAGAGAACAGGATCTTCAGATGGCACAAACAAACACAGTGTCCACATCTATATTCAGCGCTGTTGTGTTTATTGGTACAAAAATACATTTGAATTAATGTCATCTCCTCAAGGAGATCTTTTTCACTCTGTTGAAATCTTTTTTCAAACTAGATGTTCACTGAAACAAGGGTCTGTATATCTATGTTAGAAGATGGACTAGAAATCATGTTCCATTCATTAGATCATAATAATGAATAGTTATTATAATTCTCTCACAACACAAAGTAAAAGACACTTTAGTCTCACTGACCATTCACACATCACAGAAGAACAGTTCATAGATCCGGTGTCCTCAGTGGTGCCTTCAGTCCAGGATCACCTCAGAAGGCCCCTATCTCCGTGCCCCAGGGTCGGTACGGTTTGGACAGAGTGGAGCCGGAGCTCAGCACCGGAGTCACCAGAGGCAACGCCCCGATGGACAGAGGGAACGCGAGGGAGGAGAGGGACGACAGCAGCGGAGGAGACAGCTTAGATCCTGGGACAGTCAGAGCCAGCGGCAAAGCTCCATTTGGAGGAACTCTCAAAGAGTCTGTGTGGGACATGAGCGTCAGGCTGGAGACTGGAGACTCAGAGGAGGAAGGTGAAGACGAGGAGGACAGAGGTGCACTGCTGCTCCTGGGGGCCAGAGTCCTGCCCTGCAGCAGGAGCTGCTGTGTCTGTGCAGACCCGTAAGGACCCCAAGCCAAGTGCTCCAGTCCAGAGTGCACCTCTCTCTGAGAGGCGTAGTTACTGAGGTGGGACACCAGTCGTAGCCTCAGGGGATCGGCACTGTCTCTGCCCTCCATGATGCTCAGGAAGCGAGCTGTCTCTGCCAGACACTCCCTGAATCCCAAACTGCGGTAGTCCTTTGCCAGAGCGTAGGCCTCAAAGTAACCTGCTGCAGAGAGCATCTTTAGTGCCACATCCAGAAGACTCTTATACTCTGCTGATCGTCACATTTACCTTTGCCTCCAGAAGCGTGAAGCATCTTCAGGTGGTCCACAGTCATCTGCAGAATTTCTGCTTTTTCCAGTTTAGCCGACCCCTAAAATGAAGAGCACCAGTGTTCACCTTTTCCAACACACAGTTTCTCGTCTATGACATGCTCTCGTGTTTTTTATTTACCTGTTTCTCAAAGGCACTTGGTACTAATCGTCTTAATTCTGAAAGGCTGTTATTGATCCGGTCTCGTCGTCTTTTCTCAATAATCTGAGCGAGAGACAGAGAGAAACTTAGCAACATATAAGACACAACTGCTGGTGAGAACTTGAAAACAAATATGTCTTACCCCTCTGCGTCGCTTTCTGGCCTGAACTTGTGTGGTGGTGGTGGGTGGTGACGCAGACCCATTTGAATCCAAGTGACTATAGAGCATAATGGCCAAATCATTTACAGATCAAAAGATACACAAAAACAAAAATGTCTAGGAGGCAAACATGTACTCTTTCCCTCTTGTATTACTTCCAGTCACAAAAAAGAAAGACGAAAGATAAAATAACTGAAAATAAATATTTTTTTCACAGCAAAAGTGTAACTCTTATTGAAACACTGGTTTACTAATCTGGCGAGACTCATCGCATCAACACTAGAGCAAGAAAAGAAAAGCCAAGTTGGGATAACCCTTGTTCAGCCAATCAGTTCTCAGCCATAAGTGACAAATAGTGACCTCCAGGACCTTTTCTATGATTTTTTTTTTTTTACAAACTTCTGCTATTGAAATGTACAATTTTAAAACAAAAATATGAGTAAGTGAGCAATCTTTATTAGTGCCTTTTCTCCCTAACTGTAAAGCTGGGGGACCTTTTATTTCCTTCATGTATAAAACATAACAACGTTATGTTTTAATTTTGTTTTTTATCCAAACAGAAAAAACCTATTATTGTGAGAACAAATCTATATCTTGGTCTTATTAGAAAACATGTAGAAGAGCCCTGTGAGTCCAAATATGAATTTTTGGACTGATAATTAATTGCCTGAACAGGAACCTCTATCTCTCTTTTTTATCTGAATAGCGGGCTGTACTCTGGCCCAAACTGTCATGAGAGGGTTTAAAATCAGGTACCCTTGCTTTAGTAAGAGTGGTAAAATCAATGTCCAACCTAATCTCGTCTCCGCTGTCCTTTTCCACCTCCACAGTATCGTCCAGGTCGCTGTCTGAGGAGCTGTAGTGGTGGCTTCGCTTCATGGTCTTGGATCCGTGGGTCCTGGAGCGCAGTGCGGGCTGAGGGCTGCGCGCGTCTGTTTAAGCGCGCGTTTGTTTCACTTCTCCCAGTGCGTGAGGGGGCGCGGCGGGGGGCGGGGCTCAGATCTGGGAGGCCGAAAAGTGACGTCTGTTTTAAAGATTATTGTGTCGTTATACCCTTACTATAGCCCTTATACTATGATGTATCTGTACAGCTGGGACTGGATGCTACTCTATAGTTCATTTTTTTGTCAACAATAATCATCAAACTCCTGAAAATGTGAAAGATTAAAATAAATATCAGCATTCTTTTTATTGCCATTGTGAGTAACAGGAAGTCATAAACTAGGATAATGCTTTAGCTAAGGGTGCACATAAGTTTTTAAAGTAAAAATAGAATAAGGCATGTATAAAAACTAATTTTAAAAATCTACATAACATTTCTTTTTCACATTTCTACTGTATTCAAGTGCAATACAATGGACATTTAGCAGAGCAAAGTGGCAGTATAGCATTAATTGACCTGTCTCTGATTTATGTTTAGTGGCATTTATTCAACAAAAAATACTGTGATGGCAAATATCACAGAATATCATATACAGGAAGAGGCTCAATGAATGCTCTATTTCACCACAAAGCAACAAAACACACAACGTACAACAAGAGTTAATTCGAAAAATTTGCACAGTTAGGTTTATGCAACTCTTTAAAGTAAAGTGATTTTGTGAGTGTTTTGTTGCAGTTGAACAAACATGTCAGATACAGTTTTTTTCAGTCATTTATAAAGAAATGTGATACATTGAGGGCATGGACTGGAAAGGTGCCTTGCTCTCTCCAGGTGGTGGAGGTCTTTCCTCAAGTGGAGGAGTTGAGGGTCTTGGGGTCTTGTTCACGAGTGAGGTTAAGGATGGAGCGAGATTGACAGGCGGAACAGTATCAGACCGTTGTTGTGAAGAGGGAGCAGCGCCTGCAGTCAGAGTTTTGTGGTGAGCCGAAAGGCAAAGCTCTCAATTTACCGGTCAATCTTCGTTCCCTCCCTCACCTGTGGTCATGAGTTTCGGGTAATGACCGAAAGAACAGGATCGCGGATACAAGCGGTTGAAATGAGCTTCCTCCGCAGAGTGGCTGGGCGCTAAGAGATAGGGTGAGGAGCTCAGTCACACGGGAGGAGCTCGGACTAGAGCCGCTGCTTTTCCACGTCGAGAGAAGTCAGTTGAGGTGGCTCGGGCATCTTTTCCGGATGCCTCCTGGAGGTGTTCAGGGCATGTCTGTTGGGGTTTGTCCATGGGGAAGACCTTATAAGAACCTATATTTCTGAGCTGGCCTGGTAACGCCTTGATATGCCTCTGCCACCTGGCAAAAAACAAAGCAGGAAAGAAAATGTATTTCGTGAAAGATACCAACACTTGCATCGACTTTACAACAGAGGAGGAAGCTGCATATACATAATATTCCTATTATCTAAAACAAAGAGAAGTTTCCTGAACATTTTACTTTCTGTAATTCAGGATTTATTGCTGTAATAGAGCAGATCCCTGAGTGCAGTAGCCAATACAGGCATACAGTAAAAACAACAGACACATCAGGCCCCAACAGTAAAACAATTTGAAATAATCTAAAACCCTCATTATTTACAGTGTTCATTGCAGAACCTGACAGCAGTGAGTCAGTCAATAATAGTAATAATAATAAGAAATAGCCATGGGGCTTGTTGTGCTGAGAGCGGGTGGTCCTCTCTTGAGGGTTAAATGTTACTGATATTGCTCAATGTTAAAAGTGAATAATTTTCTCTCAGCTCTTTCTCCTATTTGGTAGTTTGTTAAAGATATTTCATGAAGACAGCCCAAATGTTTTGCTTATACCCGGACATTTTTTATTATTGAGGACAGATGAAAGTATAAGGTACCACATCCTGCTTTCATACGTAAAAAAGAGCCCTGTGAGTCACGATTTGACTCTTTGGGCTGAAATCTAATTGGCTGAGTGTGGGTAGCTCTCTCTTTCCCACTTTTCTGTCTGAAAAAGCCGATGTGACAGATGCAAAAAAATACATGCGTGTGAGAACTAGTGCTAGAACCAAACTATTTTGAGAGCGAGGAACAAGTTAAACGGTTCATGGGCCTACATACTTGTACATTGCTGATATAGGAGGGTCTAAGGCAGGGGTGTCAGTTTAGTTCAACAAAATAGTCCAGGGGCCGGTAACATGGATTGACTGGATTTAGTATGTCATATCTATATTGGTTCATATTCTATTGAGCTGAAAGTGACAAATGTTTACTCCTCAGATACATTTGTGTCGTATAATCAAAATGTCAGTAGAGTTCTGGAGCTTCACAATGAGGTACAACGTGCCTGTGTTGGCGGAGCTGAAGTTGGACTTGATGACTCTGTTAAATTGATGCTTATGATGCTTTGGTTTAGCGCGGCAGAGGGCCACATGAAAGGGCACGGAGGGCTGCATTTGGCTCGCTGGCCTTAGTTTGCACCTGCCTGGTCTAAGGACAGTGATGATTTGTGATAGTTAAGGACATTTATGGACATGTGTTTCTTATTATTGCATTTCCTGTGATCAAAGTGACAGCCGCTGTTGTGATTTTGGGCTACACAATAATAAATGTAATTGAATTGATTTATTGTGGTTTGAAAGTTAGGAACTCCATCTTTAACTAGTGCCTGTATTGCATCTAACAAGCTTTAAAAAGATGGGAAAACCAAAAGTTTTCTTGCAATTATTGTTTTGATAATTCCGTTTGTCAAATACAAAAACATCTTGGGAATGCACAATTAATTCCGACGTTGAAGCCAAAGTGGAAGTTGCTTTGACCGGCAGCTGACCAGTGGTTAAAGCATCTTAACCCCCAGACGGTGACAGCCTGATCCTTACTTAGACCACTCACTCGGACTGCTGTTGCGTCCTTGAGCAAGACACTTATTCCCTTTGAAAGTTTGTGGGAGACTGGGAGTATTTCTGCAACAACACTGTCTCCTCTCCGGCTTTAATTCTTTCTTGTGCCTCGTGCAGACCGCTGCTCTCGCCCCTGTCCCGCTGGGAGAGAGGTTGAAGTGGAGCAGGTCTCTTTGTGGGTCTGGCTCTGTACCCCTGGGGCCCGGTGCTCAGGGGACACACGGCCCATTAGCAGAATGTGTTGATCATTGTCGGTGTCAGCGGTGAGGCTCCACAGCAGCATTGAGCCTGGCCAATGCTGCTGCGAAGCCTCACCGCTGATAGCATTGGCCAGGCTTTCCTTGGAAACCCCCTCTTTACATGAAACAAACAGCACCGCGGCAGCTTCCCATGCATTCATTCATCCTGAGAAAAAACGGAAAGGAGCTGAAATAGTTATGTTTAAAGAAAAAAAATTGAAAATAAGACTCATGGTATACTTGAATGCAAAGGATAGTCTGAAGCAGTTTTCAGTCATGATTGATCTTTCAGATAGAGCAATATTTGCAAAGTCACAAAGCAGGATTTTCTTCTGTTAAATTTCATCTTTCTCTGTTCCACCATTTGTTTTTGCAATGTCAGACCGAGTTTCACCTGTACATGAATGATTCAAACACAGGAAAACAACCTGGCCTAATGCGATGATCTCTTGGATTACAATGTTCTGTTGATCATAGAAGCATAGAATCCATGCATTCTAAGTTTGGAATTACAGAATACACAGGTTAATAATTTCTTCAGTGCCATAAAACTACTTGAAGTTCTCAATAAATAATGTATTTTATTGTATTTATGCATTTGTTGTATAGGGACAGTGCACATGGATGAGTATACAGTGTAGATATGCCAGATTCAAGCAAAAGGGCCCGGAGAATATCATGTTGATATTTTTGTACTATGGATAGAAGAATGTATATATTTGTAAGGCGCATTGAAATAATCTTGCTTTGTTGGTATAACTCAAATTATATTGTTAATGAAAATATTGTAAGTCAATTTATTTGTAATTCATCTTCACCTGATAATGTGAAGCCAAGCCATTGTTTGCTATCCTTTTAGTGATTATCTGTTTTGTTTGCCGATTTTTAGAAGCTGTGAGCCAATTATCAACATTATAACAAATAAAGGCTTGAAATATCTCACTTTGCGTCATTTGAGTCTATCACATATTAGTTTCACATTATAAATTTACATTCAAGTAAAAGGAGTTTAACTTCTTGATCAAAAGTAATATAATTTTTTCTCTTTTTGATTTTGAAAGATGTAAGTACTACTAACACTATGTAACTAATAGCTAATTTGTTTTATGTTTTATTAAGTCCTAGTATTTTTTTTATAGGCCTTTTCCTAATGGTTGGAATGCAGTTTGATGGTAAAAGTGCCTACAACAAAGTGATAGAGATGCCCCAAAGAGGTGCATTTCCGTTCCAAGCTTCAAGTAGATACAGCGTCTCAAAAAGTGATCCACCAAATGGTCGAGGAAACCATTAAAGGGGTAAGTCAGATCAATCATGTCTGATCTATCAAGGCAAGGCAAGTTTATTTGTATAGCACAATTCATACACAAGGCAACTCAAAGTGCTGAACAAAACAAGATAGCAATAAAATCATAAATAATCACAGAACATTAAAAAGAAAGATAAAAATATAAAATCCCTCAGTTGTATGCACAGCTAAACAGAACTGTCTTTAACCTGGTTTTAAACATTGTCAGAGAGGAGGCCTGTCTCACATCTTCAGGAAGACTGTTCCAGATTTTAGCAGCATGAATCTGAAAAGCAGCCTCCCCATGTTTAGTTCTGACTCTGGGCACTAACAGGAGTCCAGTCCCTGTGCTCCTCAGAGTACGGGCTGGTTCGTATGGGACTAACATGTCACTAATATATTTTGGTGCGAGGCCATGGAGAGACTTGTACACAAGCAAAGCTGTTTTAAAGTCTATTCTCTCCTCGAGTTGAAGCCTTGTGGTGCTTTCTGGCGTCTCGCAACTTTTCTCCTCAAACTTTGGAACAGTAATCGTAAATAACAACGCTATCATACATCATTGCAGTTGCCCATGTTTCAGTAGAGAGGCCGCTCATTCTCTGGCACAGACCGCTGGGGAATGGGACTCTTCTTGTTGCTTCCTGTTGCATGTCTGCTTAGTCTGTCAGTGAGAGTGTTGGCCATTCCACCGCCTTGTCTATGTGCAGCTGTCTCTGTCCAATGTCCCTGAGGTCAGCTGTTAATGTGGTGCACTGGGAGAGAGCAACTGCGGGCCAACACGCCGTTCCCAGAATGTCCAAGCAGCGCTGGTGACAGATACAAACATGCAAAGCTCCAGTCCGCGCTGCAGTGGATACAGCCATGTTGAACCCTGACACCCTCCCTGACACATACATAACCTCCCTCTGCCCCTGTCAACACACACTCTCACTCAAAATCATGACCATCTTTAGCGATTTCATGCATTTCCGCTACACATTCTGTGCTTTCCACAGTTCCAGCGCCGGTGATGAGATGCAGACTGTTCATAATCTAGGGCTGCAGTATCTGTCTTTTCATACATATTTTTTTCCACATACCCCATCCATCACAAAATAATGTTGTACATACTTGAAAGGGTGAGCAAAGTTTATGCTGTGTTTAGTCTCTATTTGAAGGGAATTGTACAGAGACGATAAGCTCGCAGATATGTTCTCTGCCAGAAAATACTGCAGCTAAAGAGTCAGTTTCTATTCGCAGTTCCATGGTTACATGAACAAAATATCCAATAACATGTTAACAAATGAAGAACTTTCAGAAAAGGCTCTTACTGACACTGATCCAAAATGTGGTATCCAAATCAATTCTATTCTAACACTTAATAAGCATATAGTTTTGAAAGACCAGTCCATTTGGCGTAACTTGATCGAACCACGTAAACAAGATACTACAAGACCAGGCCAACAGAATGTATTTTGATGTATATATAGGATGTATATACTAACTTTCTTCATTGCAGTCAGTCCGTGCGTACACAGTCCCTCTGCATGTGTTTCACTGTTTTGTTTTGTTGTGTTTTGGTTTTGTCACATGGTGCCTTTAATTGTGTAATTGTGCTCCCAAAAATTAATAGCCTTGTGCTGTTGAGCGTAAGTGAAAATCAAATGCTCATAGTAACAAGATATTGCGTGATTAAATTTTCCAAAAGTCTGCTTATACATTGCAATGCACATATGATAGCAATGTGACGCCTTTGAAAGCGTCTAAGGCTTTGAAAGTGGAATCGTACCCAGGACCTTCTTGCTACATTCTCACTATTGCAAAAGTGTCCAAAATGTCCAAATGAATTCACACCACAGCTACACTCAGTACAGACAAATAACGACGTGGTTCTGAGCGTCACAATAATATACTGTATGACTATATTGGTGGAGCTGAAGTTGGCTGGATGACGCTGTGAATGCCTCAATGGCTACTTTGTGTCAGCAATGCAGAGGGCCACATAAAATGTCACAGTAGGCCGCATTTAGCCCCTGGGCCTTACTTCGGACACCCCAAAGATGTTGGCAACTGTATAGAATTGAATGAAGAACCCTCTGGTTATAAGATGCTAATCCACCTATGTCATACCGACAAAGTGCACCTTAAATAGTCTTACTCTACCGAAAAATGAGTATTCTTAAATCCCAGAGCACTTTATTTGCCACTTCCCATTGAACTCCATGGTGAAGTGCTTGTTGACCAGGAGCCTCACCCGGCACCAGTCTGTAGCGCAGAAAGCAGAGAGGTATAAGCAAGTATTTGTTTGAACCTGGCGTGTGCCCAGCTGCCTTCCTCAATCTTCCCTGAGGTCTCCCCTGGTGACTCTTTGTGTTCTCAGTGGAGTGTGCATGGGGCTGTTTGCGTGCGTTTGTGTATATGTGTGTGTGTGCGCGTGTGTGCGTGTGTGTGTGTGTGCGTGTGTGTGCGCGTGTGTGTGTGTGTGTGGAGGTGCCGTTTCCCACAGCCTCGATCTAATTCTGTGGTAACTCAATCTCCGTGTGAGCGTTGGCCGTCGAGTGTTCTCCCGCCTGCGCACCTCCTCTCAGCCGAGTGCATGAGTGTGTCTGACGGTCCCACCAGGCCACGGGAGCTCAAACTTATTTATTTGAATGGAAGGGTGTCAGATTAACTGCAATCAAAACACAATTTTGGTTTTATCTTATTACTTAGATACTTGAGCCAACACAATCTTATTCAACTTAATTTTGTTTCACTCTATAGACTAGGCCACTTTAGTTCCTTAGATTTTTCATGGGGTCAACTGAATATACAATGTCCTTATTGATTCCCATTTGCTACGCTAGTGTCATTGTATTTAAACAATTCATGAGGCTTTACAATGAGGTATAACATGTCTGTACTTTGAGTTTGCAGAGGGCCACATAACATGATACAGAGGACCGCAATTGGCCCACAGGCCAGACTTTAGACATGCCAGTCCTCAACTACATGTTCTAAAATGCATGTCATTCTTGAAATATTTGTATTTTCTCAAAGCAACGAAACCATGAGAAGAAAGCCAGAAAAAATGAAAACAAAACAATAATACATGTGCCATTTACCTATTTTTCTGGCTTAACAACAAAACAAAAATAGTATGGATCAGTGTGTATCCGAACAAAACAACTGAAACAAATTCACCAGCAAGTTCAGTGCTGATCTAATATAAATTCTGAATAGCTGGAAATGTATTAATTTACCTGTTTTTGTTTGTTGTGTGAGGATACCTATTGGCCAGGATAGCCATGAAAAAAGGTGCTTCCGATCTCAAGTGGATTTTCCTGGATGAATAATAAGTGCCATGAGCATTTGGTCTGGGGGCATAATTGGCCCCTGGGCCATAGTTTGCCCAGCACCCCTCCCATCAGAATGATTTACTATGTCAGCCGTGGGGCTGTCTGCAGCAGCGGCGCTCACAGCCGCTTGCATCCTGTTTGCACGCCAGGCTGAAATAATGCCACCTTATCTCTCTGCACACTGGGGCACAGCAACAGTAGTGCATTCAATGTAGGATCCACTTCAAGCATTCCTAAAAAAGTTTACATAAACACAACACCAAAACGACACATTATGCAATAAAAGAAGGCCACCCATTAAGCTGATCTCCACTAGCCCAAAGGAAATGTCTCCCTGCAGCTTCCACACAACAATGTTATCCTATGGGCCACAGCTTCCTGCTTGTGCCTCGCTGCCTCAGTCAGCACCCAGGCGCTATATTGGGTAGAGACTAGACCAGTGTCTCTTTCACACTGCCTGACCATAATACACCCGCTCATTCACTACTTTCCTGCCTTTGTTGGCATTCATGGGAGCTTTTGGATAGGTGAAACCGGGTAGATAGGCTAATATCCCTGC